AGTCAGGCAAGGATGGTTGCACAACAACCTGCGTTCCTAGAGCTTTTTGAGAAGAGAAACATGGAATACTAGATGTATGATAGCGTCCTGAGGACGTTGCAGACGATATGCCACAGCTCCAACCTTCTTGACAATCTTGAATTGTCCATAATATTTCAAAGCAAGCTTCTGATTAATCCTTACAACCACACTTTGCTGCTTGTAAGGCCTGAGTTTGAGATATACCATAGCCCTTTCCTAGAATTCCCTTTCCGTCATGTGCCTATCAGCCATTTGTTTCTGTCTATTCTGTGCCATTTCCAGGTTGGACCTCAGGATTCCCACCAGATATTGTTGTTGACTAAGCTTACCAGCTAATGTTGCTATAGAGGTGGGCAAAGGGTTCTGGAGAGAAAACTGAGAGGGAGGATACCCTTAGAGTGCTTCAAATGGGGTGAATTGCAAGCTGTTGTGGTAGTTAGTGTTATACCACCATTCAGCCAAGGACAACCAAGATGACCGGACCTATGGAGTGTGATGAATCATGCTTCGAAGGTAATCCTCCAAGCACCTATTCAGCCTCTCAGTTTGACCATCATCCTGAGGATGGTAGGCTGTGGAGTAATGAAGTTTAACCCCCTGCAATTCAAACAATGTAGACCAGAATACACTAGTAAACACACCATCTCTATCACTGACAATAGTCTTTGGTATTCCATGAAGCCTAAATACCCCATCAAAGAAAATTTGAGCCATTGTTGCTGCAGTATAGGGTCTGGACATAGAGAAAAAATGTCCATATTTAGTGAATCTTTCCACAACCACCAACACTACTTCCCCCCCCCCCCCCCCCAGACTTAGGAAGACCATCGATAAAGTCCATAGAGAGATGCTGCCAAGCCCCTTCAGGAATGGGTAAGGGCTGCAGAAGGCCAGGGTAAGGAACAGTCTCAGTTTTGCACCTCTAACAGGTATCACACCTTCCTACAAACTCCCTCAGCTGCAGTGGCGTAGCCAGGATTTTGGGTAAAGGGGTGCCAATTTAAAAAAATTGAAATGACTATCAAGTTTTTATAGTGACCCACGACGAGTTTTCATATTTTGAAAAGTCTTTAAAATACTTTCATCATTTAGACTATCAACAATGTCACTCTCAATGTATCCTACCAAAAAATCATTCATGAGATCATCACTCATTCGACTCCGAAGAGTGTTCTTCACGTAGTTCATTACCGAAAATACCCTTTCAACACTTGCAGTGGCGACTGGTAGAAGCAATGCTAACTTCACAAGAAGATACATAGATGGAAATCCCATATGAAGGGTTGGACTGGGTCTGGGAGAAGTCTTGCTTGTTAGGGTTGAAGTTCCGATTATTGCTTGAATAAGGATACAATTATGTATTTTTTTAATTTGATTTATTTATTATTTGTAAACGGTAAATTAATTATATACATGCAATAAAACGTATTGGTGTATCACGTAAGTAATTGTGGTTTAATGGAAGACGCCAAAACTAATAATAAGGGGGTTTCATGTTCAAATCCTAGTTATAGCATAAACTAATACCCCTACTTTTTGATGTCCTAGTTCTAATCCAAGGGTGTGCCATGGAACACCCTAATTATAAGCTATCTCCGCCCCTGCTCAGCTGACTCTTCAGTCCTGGCAACCAAAAATACCTTTTAAGCCTCTGATAAGTGGCTTGAACTCCAGCATGGCCTCCTATTGGTGACCCAAGAAATAACTCCATCAGATGAGTTCTCAAACTTCCAAAAGACCCTACATAAAGAGCTCCCTTGTGATAGAGAAGTCCATTCTTCATTGAATTCACCCTAGGACCCACAAATGGAACCACTGCCCCTATTATTAACGACTGAACATCAGAATCACCCATATAGGTTTGCTCAATATCTGCAATCCAATCTGGCAAGACTGCAGAAATTGCCTGGAAACTACTCTGATTGACAAAATTTGGATGTCTGGACAGGGCATCAACCACTCTATTAAATTTTCCATGCCTATATCTGATCTCGAAATCCAATTCCAACAACTTAACCAGCCCTTCTTCTGTATTTGAGTATGAACCTTCTGTCCCAACAAATGTTTCAGACTCTCATGGCCTGTCAAAATGACAAACTGCCTGCCCTCCAAGTAGTGTCTCCATTTTGTGATAGCTAACAAAACCGCCAAGTATTCCTTCTCATAAGTCGACAATCCCTGTTTTCTATGACTAAGAGCTTGGCTGTGATAGGCCAAGGGTCGCCCATCTTGTGTCAAAATAGCCCCAATGCCTATGTCACTCTCATCACTCTCAAGAGTGAATGGCTTGGTGAAGTCTGGTAAGGCCAGCACTGGAGCATGTACCATGGCTGCCTTCAGCAACTCAAAGTTCCTTTGGGATGCAGGAGACCACTGAAACCCATCCTTCCTTAACAGATCAGTAAGAGGCTTAGCAATAGTCCCATAATCTTTGATGAATTTCCTGTAATACCTAGTCAAACCCAAAAAAACCCTCAATTCTTTCACAAATTTGGGTACTGGCCAAGATACCATAGTAGCCATCTTAGATGGATCAGTAGAGACTCCATCCTAGTTAATCAAATGTCCCAAGTAATCAACTTCAGTCTAGCCAAATTCACACTTAGAAGGTTTGGCAAACAATTGGTCTTTTCTGAGTATGGCTAGGGTCAGGGCTAGGTGGTGTTTATGGCTTTGTTGGTCAGGGCTGTAAACAAGGATATCATCAAAGAAAACGAGGATATATTTTCTAAGATAAGGTGCAAAAATCTTATTCATCAAGGATTGGAAGGTGGCAAGATCATTTATCAATCCAAAAGGCATGACAGTAAACTTGAAGTGACCATGGTGTGTCATAAAGGCAGTTTTATACTGATCGGAGGGGTGCATTCTAATTTGGTGGTAACCTGACAGCAAGTATAATTTGGTAAAATATTTCGAACCCCAGAGCTCTTTCAGCAAATCATCAATTACTGGTATGGGAAACTTATCCTTAATAGTTAAAGAGTTGAGTTGTCTATAATCAACACAAAAATGCCATGACCCATATTTTTTTAGGACTATCAAAATAGAAGAAGAAAAAGGACTCCTAGTTTGAATGTAGTTAGAAGCCATCATTTCTGTACACAGTTTTTCTATTTCACTCTTTTGGGGAAGGGAATAACGGTATGGTTTGAGCTTGACTAGTTTAGCATCAAGAATTAAAGGGATTTGGTGATCACAGGGTCTTGCAGGAGGAAGGGATGTAGATTTGCCAAACACATCTTTGTATTCATCGAGCACAGACTCAAGGAAAGAAGGAACATTACCTGAGATGTGATAACTCTCACTCGACTCATCCACTCTTTACACTGTCAGGCTGAATAGTTTTCCTGCCCATGATGGCACTGCCTTCTTGAGAAACTTCTTCAGCCCTTTGCCTGTCATCGCCTTGCAGGCACCAGCATCCTCCACCCCAGTCAAAACCACTTCCTGCCCTTGTATGTCAAAGAAAAGCTGGAGGTTGAAATCGAATTTGACAGGACTTACAGTCCTAAGCCAATCCAACCCCAGTGCCAAGTCGTGTGTTCCCAACTGCAATACCCTAACATCATGACAAACTGATGTCCTTCCATTGTCCACGTAAAAGACTTATACATCTGAGTGTTGAGCACAGTAGTACCATCAGCCAACTTGACTCACAACGGAGTAGCTAGCAGCAGCTCACATTGGAGGTCAATAGCTTTCTTCTCATGCAAGAAAGTGTGAGTGCTGCCAGTGTCTATCAAGACTAGCAGTCTATGCTTCCCTATCTTTCCCTTGACCACTAATGAGTTGGCAATACTACCACTACTCAAAGATTACATTGTCACTTCTACATGCTGCTCCGCCAAAGCCTCTTCTGCTACCACACTCTCCTCATTAGGGGAGGAAGTTTGGTACCGCTATTTGGGATATACAGGATACCCTCCCGAATTTGTCTATATTTGGTATTACCGAATATACGTATTATTTCTTGGGATTGAGATTGGGATTGAATTTCAATTGTAATTCGGTATTATGGATTAAGGGATTGGGATCGATATATACCGAAATACCGATCAATACCGAAATATAAGCTAGTGTGCATTTTATCCTCTCAACTAGACTCTCACGTTCACTACTACACGACCCTCAACCACAAGAGTGTCATTTAATGATACATAGATCATTTCATCTTTGTTTCACAACTCAAAAGTCCCCATTCAACTCAATTTTAGCTTTTCAATTTAAGTCACTCTCGTCTCTCACCTAATAACTTGTTATTTTCATAACACCAAAAAGCAAACACCTAAACAATCAAATCTAATTTTTATATTTAATTATTTATTTCAAATGTAATTAATTTTGTATTTGATAATACCGATTGGGATACCGAAGTACCGATTGGGATACCGAAATTATTTAGGAATTGGGATTGGGATTGACGTTCGGGTATAATTCGGTATTCGGAATTTCGTTATTTGGTATTGGGATACCGATACCGTAGAGATTTCCATCCCTACTCCTCATCACTCCAATCCAGTGGGGGTAACACGACATCCTCAGATTCCTCACCCTGAATAGCATTCAACTGACGCTTCGCTTCATACACATGACCAAAGAAATATCGTTCTCCACACTTGTAGCAAACCCCCTCAGAAACCTTAGCAGCGTCCCACTTCTTTGCACCAGCTACACCCCCACTCGAAACGACCCCACTTTGTCGCCAAAAACTGTTATTGCTAGAGGTGGCAATTTCAATCCAATCCACCAATCCAATCCATCAATCCATTAAAAATATCCATCTAATCCAATCCATTTAAATCCAATCCATTTAATCCAAATCCAATTGGATTGGTGGATTCATGGATTGGATCCATGGATCATTGGCAAATTACGGTTTAGTACCTATAATTTTTATTTTTTACATTTTGGTACCTAAAATTTAATTTTTTATACGAAAAATATCATTGGAAAATTACGTTTTGGTACCTAAAAATTTTCATTATGGCATTTTATTACCTAAACTTTTTACATTTTACATATTGGTCCTTGGTTGATGATGTCATTTGGATTCATGGATAATCCACCAATCCACTTGATCCAATCCATGAATCCACCAATCCATTAGATCCAATCCATTTAATCCATGGATCCACCAATCCAATCCATCAATCCACCAATCCAATCCATTTACCACCTCTAGTTATTGCGCCACTTCCTGCGACGAGCTTCATTGGATTTCTCTTCCAACCTGGCTATATGAAAAGCCTGAGACAAAGATGGAGGCTCCATCATAGTAACTACAGACCGCAATTCCTCATCCAAGCCGCTAATAAAACTGGAAATGAAGTAGCATTCCTCTAAAATCGGATTATAACGCACCATCTGTGACTTCAATTCCTCAAACCTTTCCTGATATTCAGTAAGAGATCCTTATTGAACTCACCAACCACACCGCCAAACGACTAATCAGTGAACCTATTGCACAAACTCACCACAAACTCCTCCCAAAGCCATTCACGACGACCTACCTTCCAGCCTTCGAACCAAATGTCCGGCCACCGATCAAAATACACAGAAGCCAACGCCACCTTCTGATCCTCATGTGTCTTGTAAATCTCAAAAACTTTCTTGCATTTACGAGCCCATTCCAGTGGATTCTCGCCAGAAAATTGAGGAAAATCGAGGTGAGGAAGCTGATAGAAGTTGTTACCCCTATTCGGCCGTAAATTTTCCAGATCTGCAACGCGTTGGACCTGGACTGGAACAGGTGGTGGTGGCGCCATCGGAGCTGCTCGAACCATCGGCTGAGGCAGAATCCTCGGTCATGTTGCCGGTCCGCCATACCGCACCTGCGACGACCACCGTTGGGCGAGGTTGACCGAGCACCTCGAGATGGAGCAAAACTTTGTCGAAACGGTCATCAATCCCTGAAAGACGAGTGGTGATAGTGGTCAGCTGAGTCGAATGACCTTCTGCGCAAGTAGCCAAATCCTAGAGTTGAACTTCATTCCGGCGGAAGCGTTCGCTGGTAGTCTCCAAATGCTCATCTATGGCGGCATTAGGATGTTGCAGCTGCGAATTGATTTCCTCCAAACTCGTTTCCACCAGAGCAGTGTGATTAGTGAGAGAAACCAAACATTCTTCCGTCCTTGTCGTTGCCATCCTGTCGATGGACAACTCTGATACCACCTTGCAACGTCCCAAGTCTATTGATCCACTCAACTCTCAATTTGGGATGGCAATGGCGAAGTGCAGTTGCTCGCTCGTTTCTCGACAGAGGAAGAAGGGAAAGTAAGACAGAGAAAGAGAGAGAATGGGGACGGAATTTCTGTTATTGTATTCGTTATCCAACCAACACACAGAACGCGTGTTTTTATACCGTTCTTGACTATTACATCTTAACCCCCAAATCAATCTTCAATTATGATCCCTAACTTTTATGTATTTACATGTAACGACCAACTGTTACAGTTGGTGGTGCTTGTCCTTTCCTTCTATAGAACCATAGATTCTTTGATTTTGACATTCTCTTTGTCAGGAGTTTCATCGAACCAAGCTTTTCTCCTCTTATAAACTTATGCTAACTTGCGCTTTCCCGCTATTAACTTCAGCCTCTTCTGTTCATATTATTTTGCCTCATCTGTCTGCTCGGCAGCTCGGAATAACAGGCTCAAATGGTGGCATCGACTAAATCCATGAGATGCTATGCGAATACAGCAAGTAGTGGTGGGGGTGATATGGTGGTGAGATCCCGGTTTTCACATTTTGTTCAGTCTCATTTTTCGGTACGTAACATTTTGTCTATCTTCTTCATGGTTATGTTGGATTTTGGTATACATGCCATGGAGCCTAATTTTCTACTTCAATTCTAGGGTGTGTCAGAGCAGTTGGCTGATGTACTTATTCGGGTGTTCATATCTGAAGTGATTATCAAGGTAAATCTACTTGCGCTCTTTTTTCGGTAGCTCTTTGGTTGTCTCCTTCCTTCAAGTTTTATTCATTTGTGGGGGGTTTTGCGTCAGCAGCATCTGATTGTTGTAGAGCTACTCTGTAGCATCAGTAGCGAAGGATGCGTGGTGCTGGTCAAATGAGCTTTACCTTGGTGAATTTGAACAACTGAGGTCATGCAACCTGTACCCAGCGTCGAAGTTGATCAACAACCAATCCGGCCAAGATTGATGGCGGAGTGGAAACCCAACTTCACTAATTCCAAATTACAATTCGAGGGTCAACCAAACAACTCGGAGACTTCGCAGCAGGTAAAGTTAGTACGCTTTCTACAATTTGTATTGCAGTCTTCGCAGAATCGCAGTTGTTATATCAACCCATAAAGCTGGTTTGGTTTGTTATCTGTGAAGGTCTATCTGACAACATGGCTTTGCAAGGTGAATGTGGACAGCCCAGGTAAAAGCTTTTGTAACTTGCTGGTTTCATGGACTTAAACCTGGTTTTGCTCTACCATTCCTTGCCTTCTAGTGAGCAAGTAAGATCATTGAAGGAAACAAGAGTTCAGTTTGTTGAGACCAGACACTTTCATTCCAAACTCTCTCAGGGTGGATGAAATTTTTACCATAGTCGGAGAAGAGATGCACGTCAAACGTTGATCAGCCAGAATGAAGCTTTTGCTTGGCAGATGAGAACAAGTGGTAGGGGAGAGAATCTCTGTATATCTCATTCTTAAGTTTTATCCGCCTGCAGTTTGCTACTTAAAACTGAGGCTTTGCAGATTATATACATTTGGCATTGCAGGCCTTGTACAAACGATCCAACAAGCGAACAAAACATTCATTAGCTCCACTTGTCCGATGGTGAAGCAAGCAACACTGACACCAACTTGAGCAAGACCGTATAAACAAGGGAGAAGGGGAAAAAGAACACAACAGTAATCTGCAGCCGATCAGTGAGACTGAGATTATGAGTCCCCTACAGTTTCCATCAGCTGTTACAGCACATGATCACAGTAGCCTTAAACGACATGTAACAGCCGAAATGACAAGAATTCACTACCACCCATCAGAACCGAACCCATGGTAATGATACGCAAATACTAACAAGCACATTATTAATATCTCAAGACTTGAGCAGACTAACTTAGCCAGCAAAATCCAGCAATTTCTTCTCTACATTCACAGGGAAGAGAAAGAACCCTTTTGACATGAAGCTTTTAAAGCGCTTCACTATGCTACTTGCTAGATGTAGCGTCTGGATCATCTCTATTATCTTCTTCTCCGCACTAGGCTAAAAGCCAAACTGTCAAACTACACATCCCAACAGTCCGCCAAAATATGAAGGCGAACCACAGTTCCCTATTATACAGATCAGAGTGACATGAACAGCCTAGATTAATTAGTACAAATCTAACAGCCTCCATCTCTTATGAGGAGACAATCTACTATCTGCTTCCTACATTCCCAACCATGTTCTATGTCACAGAATGCTATGAGTTGCAGTCAGAGAAGAAGAGAAGAGGCAAGAGAAGAAAACTAATAAATTAAATAAATAAATAAATATCAAAGTGAAAGACATTGTACCCTGTCAGGGATATTCCTAGGGAAGGGAAGCGCAGTAACATATCTTTGAAGAAAAGCCTTCTGTGCATTAGAAGCGCTACCCGAGGATGAAGTGTCTACTAATCCACCTGCTGTTTGACCTGGACCATGGAACTTAGCAAACCGATTGATGACAGAGAACTTCTCTAAATCTTCACATTCTACTCTCAAGTCTAACACAGACATGCTCCTATCCAATCTGTTGCCACAATAACGAAAACCATAAGATGTCAGGCATAAACGCTCGGTCTCACCCACACTGCACCACTCCACCAGCACAGAAATGGAGAACTGGGAACCTCAAGACAACTGGAGGAATGACAGCAATGTAGTCAAAATCGGGCTTTAAAACTTCAAAACTTACGATTTTACGTTTCTAGGTCACTAAAATGCTTCTACACAAAATCTCAGTTTCTATAACTTATGTAGTTAAAAACTCCGCTTTAAAACTTAAAAACTTACGATTTTACGCTTCTAGATCACCAAAACGTTTCTACGTAGAAACTCGCTTTTGACTACATTATTGACAGCAAGTAAGACCTAAGATGCAAGGATGGCCATGGAAAACAGCCCGAAATTGCTGACACTAAAATGACTAATAAATTCAAAATCTGATAAGCCACGAGCATGTGGGCACCCTGTCCTGCTCTGCAACTCCAACAAAACCACAGAAGGTAACCAGCAACCTGGTTCAAACAAGACAAGTACAAAATAACATCCTCCAGGGTCACTAGTTTTGAGAGGATCGATCTCAAAGAGAAGGACCAGATAAGCTCAAAATCACATTTTAGCACACTACGAAACGAGAGCCCATAACCAAACAGACCACACACTACGTAAGGCATCAGTTCAAGCAACCAAAGGACTGAGGAGAACAACAAACTACCTCAGCAAGTCACTTTCCACCTTTCTTGTTCTCTCGATGAGATCTTCCATAACTTTCGAGAAGTATTGATCACTTATACTTTTAGACATTCTGAGCCTCTCGGGTATTCTAAAGAAAGAAAAGAAAAGCAACAGATTAGATGGCAACGGAAAGGAATGCAGTGTTCAGAAAACATAATTCTTATGCACAAGAAACAGAGACAGCCACCAAATTTGTAATCTAATTCAATGGTCATCCTTACACGTTGCTGCTTTTGGAAGGTGGGGAAGCGTGACTGGCAGAGCTAGATAGTGAACTACATACATCTCCCAGTGTCAACCGAGCAACACAATGAGCAGCACTATCATATTGAGAAGTTGGATCAGCAGACATAACCCACGATGGAGGAGGTTGAAGTAGTATCTGCATAATCTGTGTCGTCAATATCAATCTTTTCTTTGATTTAATGGCTGGCGGCCCATCATCTATGATTTCACCATCTTCCACCTGTCATCAGAAATTACAGCATTATCAACAACGCTTCCAACATAAACTGTTTAAGGAAAAATGCAAATTCCAAAAGGGAATTCTTATGTAAAGCTCATTATTGTTTAACAAACCTTTTCAGTCAGACGGTTAACTGCATTTGCCCATTGCACTTCTGCTAAACTGCAAGCAACAAAGTTTGCATATGTCAAAATAAAATTAACAGAGTATAGGAAGGGGGAAGACAATATGAATAAGCCATTTGCAAAACCCACAAGCAGAAAGTAATTCTCAAAATAAGAGTTAACCAAAAGCAACAGACAAGAATGAAATCACTACCACCTTATATTCGGGAGCCTATGCAGAATCTTTATCAGATCCTTATGCCATGGAACAAGATCACATGTGACACTCTTGCGCTTCTTTGGTCTTACCACAAACAAACTCATATCAACAGAGTCAGGCCGTGACAATTGAGGAAAAGAAAACTCCTCAGTAACTAGTGGTGTAGAACTTATCCTAACTAGGCCATGCTGATTTGCATCATCGCCAGTGGTTCTTCCAGCCTCTAATGGACCTGGAATTGGCAGTCTATTAGAAGACCTGCCACCACTTAGAGCTAATTCTGCATGCTTCATTGCGGCAACTTTTCTAGCATCATATGTGGATAAAACCTGTCCATTCTTGAAGGTGCCAAACTGATTAAACCGTGATGGAGCCATCTGGGGACTGATCAGAGAAAGGTCACCTTTACCAGTAACCCCATCATTGCTATCCGCAAAATTTCTAGAACTGTTCCCACCAAACTCATGCATGTCCTGAGTAGGAAGATTCGGCCCATGCACGTCTGTTTGTCTCCCAGAAAAGCCAACTGCTTTTGGATCATCAGGAGAACTAGAAGCATTGTTTAGTAATGCACCTCTGACAGTGTTAGCGTGTCCAATCAGCTGCTGCCCACCCTCAGAAGCAGCTAACTGAGGATCAACACTACCATCAGATCCGTTCGATCTCTTCAAACTTCTACCACTTGGATCTCCCTCCCTATTCTTCACATCCTGAACTTGATGCAGCAATGAGTAATTTTGACTCAACGAAGCATTGGGCCTCAACGAGCGTCCAAAAGCTGCAATATCCATTTGAGTGCTTACGGCGCATGAAGCATAAAAGTTACCAACATGATTTATGATAGTCTCTTTCCCAGTCAAGGGACTCATCTTCTTGGTAAAATCATGAACCGGTAGAATCTGCTGACTCAGATCTTTTTCCAGCTGGTCTTTACCAGTAAATCCAAGTTTCACAGAAGTAGCACCAGATGCAGATGGACTGCTACCTCTTCCTTGTGGAGCCTGATATTCTAGCTTCTGAGACCAGGAAGTGGTTTCTGTAGTGCTGTTTAATTGAATATTGGACTCAAATGCATTTGACGAGGCCAGGAAAGTTGGAGTACCAAAAGACTGGTGTTTGCTTGATGTAGTGGTCCTCAGTGTTGAAGACGTTTTTGAAGCACCATCCTGTTGTAAGCCAGATCCAGTATAGGACTGGAACGTAGATGAAGCTTCTAGCACAGGAAACTGATGCCCAGAATCTGTATCGCTTTGCAAGTTGCCAAGGCGGGTAACCTCGGCAGAGGAAGCAACATCATTACATGTTGTGCCCCTGGAAGTGTCAGGCACCAACGCTTGCCCAGATTGACTTGATCGCACTCCATCCACAGACTCTTTTGACTGTTTCGTGTGGGAGACAAACTTATCAAATGACTCATTTACAGATTGATTGGCATTTGCGTCCTTCGGTGTCTTGTTTGGTGTGAAGTTATGGGCACCTCTATCAAGGGAACTGGAGAGACTAGTGAAATAAGATTGTCCAATTTGCTCTTCTTCCAGACCTCTTGATCCACCGGAAATCCTTTGCATGGCCGACTCTGAACGAGCACCAGGTGCTGTTGCATGTGATGAGTCAGAATCAACATCTACATCTCCCATAGGATGATACTGAAATTTCCAATTACTTCTCTTTGCATTGACATTGTGAGATGTATTGGTGAAGCTATCCATTGCCTGGGGTCTCACACTCAAATTATCTAATTCACGAGCATTGACAGCACCATTGCCTGGACTGTTGTTTCCAGATGATTCAAACACTCCCTGGGCCTTCTCCATACTGAGCGAACGGCTACCCGTGATCTCACGTCCCTTATGATTTGTTACTGGATCAACATATTTCCAGACATCAATAGTGTTGCCTAGTTGAGGAACATCTTGGCTGCTATCTTGATTGAGCATCATACTGCTGAAATCTGGAGTATTATTCCTGCTAGAATCCGCTGTGTTGACTGCGGAGCTACCAGTGCTAGATTGAGTGTAGACTGTCCCAACAGCTGAGTTGGAAACAGAGTCAGTTCTCCAAATGTTCTTTCCTATTGAGCTCTTTAGATCATTTGTTGAGGGAGCTTGCAAAGGATTTTGATTCCCTTGACTCTTCAAAGCTGAGCCTGTATTAGATGATGCTGAATCAATGAAGTTCCAACCATTTTGTCTAATGAATGATTGGCCAATTGGATTGTGCAGCGGGGAGCCTGCCTGACTGGCCCAGGGATGAGATGTGTTCTTTGCACTTGAATCCACAACAGGAGAATGAACAACCTTTTCATGATTATGGTTCACTTCAATAGCAGCCTTTTGTTGATGGCTCCCATCAAGCCATTTGGTATTACTTTTTACAAACTGCTGAGAAAAATTCCGAAAAGAATCTATCTGCGACTTTTCACTCACATCGTGAGCAGAGCTCACCCCAGAACGGTTAACTCTTTGCATTTCATTTCTGTTTATACCTGTATTATCATGTGATAGATGGAAGGGATTATTCAGGGTCAAGCCAGTTTGAAAGCTGTTACCTGCCCAAGCTGTTTGCTGTTTTCCAGAATCATTTACAGTCCGGATCTGCCGATTTCCATTTTGAGGTTCTGTACCCTGGCTATCCGGATCACTCCATTCCTCTTGTGCGCTAACATTCACACTAGAAGCTTCTGCTACGGCTGACTGCATAAGAGCACTCCAAGTTCCACTTTGTAAAAATGACAAAGCACCACCAGGTGCCTCCGTACTCTCCGTATTCAAACCTCCAGAATCCACATGATCACTGTGGCCAAAAACATCCCACAAATTATCATCTGACCCATACAAAATCCTCTCTTCGGTTGGATCTAGTGTTGTGACATTCTGAGAAGACACTGCCTGATTAACAGACTTCTCCTTTGATGATGTTGATGGAACTTCTCCATCTTGCCTCCTAAGGAATTCCTGAGTTGGCACACTACTTTGCCGGGAATTCACTTGCTGGAGACATTCTAAATTAACTCCACTGTCCAAGCCTTGAGTATCTACTCTTCCAGTCACATTTCTCCGCTGACATCCTTGTCTCGATCCCGACGTTCCTTCTTGATCATTCACCTGGTTTGATGAAACTGTATACTGATTAACTATAATGGAATTACTATTGCTAGACATCTGCTGGGGAGGGGCTTTGTCCATATGGATGGGTGAAAAATGACTTGAAGTAACTCTTGTACCAGAGATTGGGACACCATAGAGAGATTGATCAACATGCTGTGGAGCCATATCCATCAAGTGAAGTGCTTGGTTTTGTTCCAACGAAAATCCAAGCCCGCTAGATGAGCCTCGCATGTCTGGAGACATACTATGCTGTTGCCAGTTTGTGTTAGCCGCAATCACCTGAGGCTGCAATAAATAACCAGATGCATCCTGTACAGGAATTCCATTGATCATAGATTGGGACTGACTAACAAGCGCATGTTTTCCGAGAGAGGACACGTGATTCAAAATATTAAGTTGCCTAGTAGATTCCTGTTGCTGCAGTTGTTGCATCTGATGCTGTCGCTGTCTCTGAAATTCTTGCATTTGCTTGAGTATCAATTGTTGCTGCAGCAGCTGCATATCCCCAATCCCCAAAGGTTGCCTATGAAGAGATTGCACGATTCCAGGATGTTGGGGACTCATCCGATTCTGACCTCCCAAAAAATCAAAATTAACTGGAGATTCAGTAGAGTCCATCCTTAGTAAATTTCGTTGGTGAAAGTCAGGGCCATTTCCTTGATGGGAATCGAATGCGGAAAAACCCTTTTGTGTTAAATTATGCCGATCAAGTTCTGTATCAACTCCCAAAAAGTTTGTCTCATTCTGCCTTGTTTGGAAACCCTGATGACCCTGAAAGTAGCCATTTATAGTTGGTTGCTGATCTTGCGATTGACTTCTAGCATGCTCTGTTCTTTCAATTGATTGTTGAAAGCTCAAATCATGCTGCACAGTTGATGACTGAGCACCATATCCTCTTCCATAATTAGCCACTGGGAACACAAAAGAGACTATCAGGAGATTGCAATTAAATACCTTTCCAAATCCACTCATAAGTTTGTTAGGATTCCAATTACTTAACTAAATAGAAAAGTTCTTTGGGTGGTCCAACCAGTGAGATGGAAAACACTTCAGTAGGATCTGAAAGGACCTCACCAACAAGCAAAAGAACTGCACAAGGACAAGGAGTTGATACCTGATTGCTGTAAACTGCGATTTCTTAAATCGGATATGAAGGGTGTGGCAACCTGTCCCTGACTTCCAGTCCATGGATTCGCACTCATCCCAGGCCAGGCTGCATCAGCAATTTGCGAGTGTTGTGGGACCGGGGAAGAAGTCTCTTGACCAAAGAAATTGTGGATCCTATCTCCAATCTCGTTTCCAGGCATAGATAATTCCCCTCACAAGTTCTCAGTAGCTTAGCTATTGACTGAACGAGATATTTAACCCCTGAAATAAAATCAAAATTTATTACATTCTTCAAAATGTGATCGAAGAGGAGTAAACATGAGAATTATGCGGTATACAACCTCTATTGGGTTCATGTGAATGTCATCCAGCTATAATGACCCCAATGCTTCTCCTCGGTCTGCATTAAAGACATGGAAATAGAAGCTATAAGAACACCTGATGAATGGTTCAGCAAATATTTACTTTTCAGCACAGTGACAATAAACACGTGACAGGAAGAGAATAAAGTTTCTCAATAGTAACCTGTTTAATTCACAAGCTAAAATGAACAAACTCTCTGCACAAGTGCAGCAAGGATATATAATATAAATAAGATAAAAATGCTGTGATGACAAGAATTATTGAAGCACAAAGGGACTGGTTTACAATATTTATTAAAAAATACAAGCCTAGAATTACAGGTACAAACCATTGCTGCAATTAGAAATTAGTTTCTAACTAACAGATTGGGCTCCAATGAATTGTAAACCATATTATGAGGGACGCATTATTCCAACTCAGTCATTTTCCTTTTACCCAACACCATTCCAACACAAGTCATTTTCTACCCATCTTGGCAAGTGATAACATGATAGTCTAACACCATGTCCTAGATTTCTAATGAAAATTAGCACATGATACTCAGCTTACAACGATCAAGAGCAAAATGTAACAACTAAAAAAACTGAATTGAATCGTGGTCCAGGGGAATCTCGAAAGCAAGTTCCAAATCAACATGAGATCACAGAATGAAGAATTCAGCTTTAATTTCCAACTTTGCAGTCAAATAGCAAATTCCTTATTCCACCAATATTCAAGAATGTCTCTCTACCTTCACATGTCAGGCTCTACAAATGAGCATCCCATGAAAAGTGTAAAGAAAATTGTAATCGTCGATATGACTGGGACATTGTGAACAGCATACTCAACTATTTAAGAATTCACCTCATTTAACTACACAAGACGAAGTTCTGATGGACCCTGCTGGCCAAGGAGAAATATGCCTAAAGGTCAACCTATCTCCAAAGAGCTTGACATTATTGCTTCCTTGATCCTCGGTAATACACATAATTGGCTCCATTCAAGTATAGAATTTCAAAGGGAATATTCATAAACAATGAAGCTTCAGAGCAAAAATAACATTGAACAATCTCTAGCCTATTTGTTGTTATGTGACACCGTCACACCTTATATCTTCCATGGAATAAAGCGACAATGACTGCATCAAAATAGCAATCTTGGTTCATACAGAGCTCTACCAACTCTTTCAAGTAATAAAGCAAATATAAGCATATCAGACATCCAAGGGAAGGCCTTCCAGACCCGTGAAAAGCTTTCGCCAACACTCCTCTTCCTAGTTGCCGAGAAAATGCAGGTTTGTGGGAGGGAAATCCAACAAACAAAATCCAATTTTGTCTCAATTAAGAACAAAGCAGCGAGAACTAATCTCTAAATCCCAGTGGAACAGAGAGAAGCGAAGTAACGGAAGACAAAATTCACGTTTCCCTAAGTTCCGTAGGCCTCAAAACCTACAGCGGAAAGCCATATTCCAAATCCAGCATTCATTACCACTTAACCAAAAACGATCGAGAAACGAACTCTCAATTTCCCACCCGAAACCAGCCTCACACGAGAGGCACAAAAGCCCAAAACAACAGAAGAAGCTCCTAGAAAGCTGCCCCGTCGAAAGCACGATGTCGGTTTAGTTCAGCCCAGGTAACATAGATGACATCTATGAGCAGAAGGTTAGGGTTTCAACCCAGTGAGAACGTAAGGGAGAAGGAGAAAAAGCTTTGTTGAACTCACAGTTTCGTGTACAGGCCACCATTTCCGAGCTGGAAACCGATCCTCAGAGACGAAGAATTCGCGCAAACTTTAGGGTTTAAACCAATGGCAACGCGAAGGTATCAGGAAATGAGGCGTCTCAGAGTCAGAGCTGTGCGAGAGACCGAAGGAGAGAGGGAGAGGGAGATAAAGCAATCGAAATAGTGTGCGAAATTTTCAACGAACAGAGGAACAACGACGAGGTTCGGGGGCCAGGGCAATCCGAAGCTAGGTTTGGTTTGGACCCGAAGCTAAGAGCGCTCTTTGAGATGCTTAGCCGGGAGAAGAGAGACTAAAAGGCGAAACGAAGCATGTGTAGTACTAGTGGTTGAAGAGTAGAGCCCACGCGTTGGTTTGGACGGTAGGAGTTTTGCCAAATGAAGGAACGAACCAGCTGATGGGCTGAATTCACACCGTCGGACTTCAAGGCCATTTGGTTTGTCACCAAATGAGTAGAAGAGGGGATGGGCAGGGGCGGATACCGAGACCTCTAAAATTTGGGAAAACTATTATTTTAACTCTCGGTAATAGTTTTGTATGGATAAAAATATTATATTTATTGATTTGGGATACCCCTACAACGATAATCTTATACTCAGTAGTAGTTTGCGTATACTTAAAAAAATAAGTGATAGTCTGTGTTATTCAAACTTAGGATATACTATATTTTTTAAGCATTGTCCTCCATTAAGTTGCAACTCATTTGTTGTTCTATTTTAAACACTACATAATAGTAAAAAGTTATTCCTTACCCCCGACTACTTCCAAAACCTAACAATTAAACTAATTACAGGCTACCCTTAATTTGAATTGATTTTATGGTTACACAACAAGTGTTAAAAGAGTCTTTTCAACTTTGAGTTACATCAAGAACAAGGTTAGAAATCCATATGCGATCAGTTCGTGAACTATTGTCTAGTAGGATATACAGATTTGTTGAGCAATATACCAAGCCTATTTTTTATTCTTTATCATAATACAAAAACACGTCGTGGCCTTTGTTAAAATTTGTACTAGTCCGATATTTTTTTATTTAATTATTTTTTTTATTTTTTATTTTTTGAAGATGACACCCCTGTTAAAAATTTCTATATAGTTGTGGTTTGGATTGAGTTATTACATACTTATGAGTCCAGCAATTGTCCCCCAGTTAGATATTTAATGATATACTGAATGCCCAACTGGAAGTCTTCCAACTGTCAAATTTTCTCTCTACTCTGTTTTTTGACATAAGAGATGGTTTGTTTTGTATGGTTTTGTTTTGCTTGTTTTGTATGTTTTCTAATCTTTGTTCATATATTTTCGGTTTTTGTAAATACTTTTCTAGTGTGCTAATGATACCGTGAAAGATGGCGATTTTGAGAAGGGAGGGGATGCTCCTAGAGTTGCTGAGATGGATGGTCATCCTGAGAAAAAAAGGAGAAACTCATTATTTGATTGATTCTAAAGGTGGAGTCGAAGGACACGATGATGATGTTATCGGTGTTGATGATCTTGTATTGGATGTGCTTATTAGGAAGGTTACGAAGGTATTTTTATGTGTGTTGTGTTGTGTTATGCTTATTATTGTTATTGGTCTGGTTTAGATGATTTGTGGTTTGTTTAAGAATTATGTGGTGTGTTTCTGCTTATGTAGTCTATGGAAAAGGTTACGGTTGATGGAAGGGGAAACAAGTTTATGGTGATGAAGTCCTTGAGGGTGATCATGTTGATTTGTCGTGGACTTAAATGATTGATAGTCTTCAAATGGGATGGGTAAGAGTTTTTTTGTTCGGTTAGCTTTCGTGCCTTTGTGGTCTGCTTTAGAGGATTTGTGAACTAGTGTAAGAGTTTTATGTGTACTGTGCATTTTTTTTTTTGGTAGTTTGGTTTCTCGCGTTTGTAGTTTGGGTTAGTATTTTTTAGATTGTTTTATCTAACTTGTGGTGCGATTTAAACATTATCAAAAAAAAAAATTGAGGGTGAAGAATGTTGTAGATTGTCATTGGTGTAGGGTGTTGATGATGAGGTGTTGAAGCGACTCTGTTCTGGTACGCGGGATCACAACTTGTAAGTGAGAATATACAACATGCAAAGGGTGGTTGCTTATATATATATATATATGTGTGTGTATATGGTGACGTCTATCATACACCAAGCAAAATATTTTGTATGTCACACACCAGCCAATCTTTACCATATGTGCGATTTCGACGGTTAGCATAATTGCGGGTTCTATTTTTGTGGAATTATAAATTAAATCACGGTACTAGTCCCCTTAGCCCAAATCGAGAGGCATGGTACACCGTACACCGACTGCCTCTATCTCTAACAGGGTTACATAAAGCATACCACAAGTTTATAAATTATAATAGCTCACCACAAAATTTCTTAAAGCACGCCACAAATCCCATAACACACGCCACAAGTTTATTACAGTAGACCACAAGTTACATAAAGCATACCACATGTTTATAACAACACGCTGCAATAATCTTAAAGCACAGCACAAGTATATTGTCTTGCCCCTATATTTATTTAGTGTTGCATTGTGATTCTAGGTAAATGTATTGCGTTATGATAAGTGATATTTAGGTATTGTTTCGGCCGGGGGAAGAAGATGATGAAGATTGAATTTCAATCAAATTGTGGGTGGATAGGTGTCTTTACTTGTGTTTGTGAATTAACCCACCTCATTGGGTTTATAAACATACAATATAATATTTTTGATCCAATTATGACTATTATCATGGGTAGCATGCAAAGTTACTAGGCCAATCACTAATCTAGGGGTGGGCATCGGTTTGGCTTGGTCAAAACCGAAGTGAAATGGAGCATATCGGGTCTCACTTTGCTCCAACCCCAAAACCGAATTCAAACTGAATTATATTGCACTTCAGTTTGTTTTTTAACAGCAGGCCACCATTATACCCCTCCCACTTCCCAAATATTATTTTCTTTTCCCCCCTTTCTATGCTTTTCTCCCTCTCCCTGACTCCCTCTCTTGCCTCTGCCTTCCTCCTCCATCCCTCTACGCTTTCTCCCTTCCTAGTTCCCCTTCTCACCCCCACCATGATACCCAGCAGCCCACCACTACCTTTTTCTGCCTCTTTTGAATCTTCATCTATAGAAAGCCATGATTCTACCCAACCAACAAACCCAGATCTCGACTCAAAGCACAACACATCGGCAGTTGAGATCTTGCCTCCGGCGAAGACAGCGATGGAGGGAGGCACTGGCGACGACCTTCTTATCTCATTATTCTAGCCACCATATCATGCTTAGTGCCCTCCGCCGCCGAGGTCGCACTCAGCTCGTTTTGCCACCAGGATCAGGATCATATCCCTCCGTCGCCGGGTCGCCTCTCCCATCGTGGCCCTTCCACTCCCAGCTGCTTACATGTGGTCCTCGCCCTTTTGAATTGAAGTACCAGGGCACAAAAGAAAGTGAATTGAAGGGCTCCAATTCCATCAACAATGCCCCTCGCAGTTCGCACCTGCCACCTAACCCTTCCGATTTCCATAAACTCATCATCTTCTTCCGGCCCACAAAAGATGAGTAAACTAAAAGGTTAGCAGGATAGATGAAATGTGCCTCTGAATGCTTGAGTTGGGCTATGGGTGATTAATTGGGCTTAGGACTATGTTGGGCTAGAAAGGGAGAAGCTTGGGTTCAGACAAAGTTTGGTTGTCCGGTTCGAAATTCGGACACTCAGTTTGATCGAAAAGACCTTGGTTTCCGAAATAATCACTATCCTCTTTCGAATTCCGAACATAACAGATTTATTTCGGTTTCAGTTCGGTTTAGGTTTGGTTCGGGTTTACCGAATTGGATGCCCACCCCTAACTGGATCATTTCAGCTTAAGTTGAAAGTTTAATAAATTTTGATTAGTTTTCGAATATTCTAAACATATTACTTAGTTGAATGGTTATGAATATTCTAAACGTATTAGTTTTCACTAGGTCTCAAACTGATCATTCGATGGGAAGGGCTAGACTAGAGTGCTACATCTTTTTTGTTAGTCAATTGAAACATTTCATTTTGATGATTTTTTAATTTACATTAGTTGACCACATCCTCACCACACCACAAATTTAACAAAGCACGCTACAAGCATCTTAAAGTATACCACAAAGAGGGAGTGTACCATAACCTCACCACACCACACCACACCACAAGTTTATCCACAACTCACCATAAGTTTCTTAAAGCACACCACAAGTCTCTTGAAGCATACCAGAAACCTCATAAAGCATACCACAAGTCTATCTATTGTGCTAGTCTTATAGGTAATTATTCTGAGGATCGAATCATAGGTGCATCTTTCAAGTCTAGGAGGTAAGTAGTATTTAATGGAAAAAATAAGTTTTTACTTTTTAAATGGAATTACCCTAATCTCTCAGGGACTTTTTTTAAAAGTTATAACCGAAGTAACACTCTTTATATTTCCTTCCATCCTTTTGCATTCATTCTTACCATCTCCTTAACTTTCTTTCTTTTCCTCCTCGTTTTTCTTGGTTTCCTTTCTCTGTCTGAAAAATGTCTCACAACATCCCCTTCCCAGACTCTATGTAGTTAATTAAACCTTTGTAAACAAGGTTGTTAGTGATCCCTATTAAAGGAATCACGATCGGTTACCGAGATTGTTTGCTTCTCAATCTCTTCCCATTAAAATCATTGCCGACCCTACAAAGTTTCAAGATTTTTACATTCAGGTTGTACACTACATCCACAAACTGAGATGGGGGTTTCTTCTTCACTCTCTCCCTCTGCCTGCATGTCATCTCACTGTGAGGTATATCTATGCAAACATGCAGTGCAAGGGTATTAATTATCAAGAGTTCTCCACTCTTGTTGTTGGCCACTAGATTAGTATAACAATTGAAGGCCTATCTCGGATTCTTAACATTTCCACTTGTGGCATTCCCCTTGCTCATGAGTAAGAACTGGTTGCATACAAGTTCAATCCTACTAAGAAATACGATGATCTTCTTAAAAGGGTTGTACTTCCCAATGGAATTATCACTAATGCATCTCTTAAACCTTTTCATATGGTCTTTCACTATTTCATCATCCATGTCTAATACCTCTTATTAGCAATCAGTTGTGCTCTATAAGTTGAGGCAGATGAATATAGATATAACTGTTATTCTAGAAACAAGAGTAACGGGAGAAATACCACGAGTGCCATTAAACTTTTGGAATTGGGGGACGGATACCATTGAATTACAAATAGGGCTGCGGATACCATCAAAATCGTTGAAATGTGATTAAATTTTCCATCCATTTGACTAACGGTTAACAAAATAAAAATAAAAAATGCCACCTCAGAGCTGACTGTGGCCAATTGAAAAATAAATCCGTGCCACCTCACTTTCACCTTTCCCGTCCCACTTTGCTTTGCCTTCTACATTCCATTTCTCTCTAGACTTTTCGACTCACAAAACACCGCAACTCCCTGCACCACACCCCACACTCTGTTTCTCCGACAATCCAAACTGTCGATGGCTGGGCCCGATCGAGATGCGAAGGAGAACTTCGTCGGAATCACTGGTGCGTCTCTCTCGGTTGTCGCGCGGAAACTCGAGGTGCAATTCCCTAATCATTACTTTCGTTCTTTAAGCTTTTCTAGTCAATGGATCTGGTTTTCACGATTCAACACTTCGATTCTTATTGGGATATTATATGCAGGCTAGTTGCATTATGAACTAATTATATGTCTTAAATGTGGTTTATGATTGAGGGTCTCCTCCCATTTGCTCATTTTTGTTCGACGTTTTGCATTTTTTTCTTTTCCTTCTTTGTTCTTTCTCTTGCTTTAAAAGTGATGCATGCGTGTCTAGTAAACACCTGGTTTCGAGGAAGATGTGAGAATTTGGATCCTGGGTTAATGCAAATGCTTTTGGAGGTTCTCAATTGTTTAATTTGTTATTAGGAACATGGAGGCGATCTGGACGAAGTGTTGAATGCGCATTTTAGAGGAATAGAGGGAAGCAAGTAATGCCTTTTATTTACCGAAACATTACTTACTCATTTCTGTTATCTTTCGCTGGTGGCTCATCAATATACTTTTAGTCTTTGCTAGGCCTATGCAGTACCTAATCTTCACTGTGGATGAAGAGGTTTCCTTCGTCGGCGAGCCATTCCGTCTTCATTTTAAAGTGAAATCTGTAACTTTATGGAGTAGACAAGCCAGGTCGCGGAATGAGTCGTGGAGCAGGGAATTCAGGCTAGCGATTTGTATGGAAGGGGAATTAGATTGCGCCAGCCAGTAGGCGGAGAGAAATTAGTCGTCGCCTGCCGGCGAAGATAAATTCTGGTTGTGGTGGAGCTGGTTGAAGGTGGTCTGGATATTTTCTTTTTTAGATAAAGATGGGGAAAGGTGAAACTGAGGTGACACGAATCTGTTTTTTTAATTGGCCACAATCAACTCTGAGGTGGGAATTTTTATTTTTATTTTGTTTGACTGTTAGTCAAATGGATGGAAAATTGGATGGAAGCACATTTCAAACAATTTTAATGGTATCCGGTGCCCTGTTTGTAGTTCAGTGGTATCCGTCCCCCAATTCCAAAAGTTTAATGGCACCCGTGGTATTTCTCCCCAAGAGTAACTAAGGTTAATAGCGTAAATATAGTAAATAAGTCCTTCTCTGAGTGGACATTTGAAGATAACTATAGAAAATCCAAATCTGGTCGTGTGTGGCTCTTCTGGAAGCAGAGTCTGAAGGTGAAAAAGGTTGGTGATGGAGAACATTTTTTGAAGATTCATGTGGCAGGTACACATCAGGATTTTATAAGTTTTATATATGGGCCAAATGGAGATCAGGATAGATGTATTGTGTATAGAGAGCTTATAGTTCACAAGGAAATTACTATGCCTCTAACTGTGATGGGCGATTTTAATGTTATATATGAGATTTCAAATTCTTCAATGTAGTGGTTATTAGCCAGAGTATGTTAGATTTTCGTGGGTGGATTGATGGTATGCAGCTGGTTAGTCATAAAGGGTTGGGATCATGGTTTACATGGTGGAATAAGTAGAAAATGAACCCTATTGCGAAAAGAATTGATAGAGTTCTTGTAAATGAGGCTTGGATGGATGTTTTCCCTTCTAGTACAGCAAATACTTCACAACCAGGGATTTCATATCATTGTGGGTTGGTCCTTCAACTTTATCTGAAGTTGGCAACACTCCCTAAACCTTTCAAGTATTTCAAGTTTTGGAGCTCTCATCCAGGCTATTTGGCGATGGTTACTAAAGCATGGAATTCTTCAAAAAGTGGCTATCTACATTATATATTTTTATGGGAAGTTGCAGAAGGTAAAAACCAGACTTAAAAAGCTTAACAAGGAAGTTTACTGGGATATATCAGGCCAGGCAAGAGAGATTGAGAAGCAGCTGGAGATTCTTCAAGCTGAGGTGCTATTACATCCTGATTTTGATAATGTTGAGGCAGAGGCAGCCTTGGCTAAACAGTGTCCTGATATTCAAAAAGCAGAAGAATCATTTTATAAGCAGAAGTCTCGTACACAGTGGGTTTGGACAGGGATATGAATACGTTGTTTTTTCATAAGGCATTGCGGGTTAGAACTCATAAGCAGCAGATCATATCTCTTAAAGATGCTAATGGAGCTGATGTAATAGAAGTATCTCATATGGGGCAGGTTGCTGTTGATTTTTACACTCATTTGATTGGTGAGGTGGATTCAAATTTTCAGGGGGCTTTAGTGAGTTTTTATGAGTCTATCTTATCCAATAAAACTACTGATGGTGATAATGAAATGCTTAATAGGGGTATCACTGAGGTTGGGATTTATCAAGTTTTCAAACAACTGGGTAGGGACAAAGCCCCCGGGCTAGATGGGTTCCCAGTTGAATTCTATCTGCTTAATTGTGATTTAATTAAAGCTGATGTGTTTGCTATTATATTACAGTTCTATCAGTCTTAGCATATGCCTAGAAAAATTGATGTTATTGTGTTCACTCTAGTAGCCAAGGTGCAAAATGCTATTCATATGAAGGATTTTCGGCCGATCTCGTGTTGTAATACCTTATACAAAGGGATTGTTAAAATCCTGGCCAATCGCCTGGCTGCTGTTCTCCCCTCTCCGGTGAGTCATTCACAATCTGATTTTATTAAGGGAATGTCTATAACTGATAATATCCTCCTTGCTTCTAAACTAGTGGAGGGCTATCAATCAAAATCAATTAGTTCATGTTGTGTGATTAAAGTTGATTTAATGGAAGTTTTTGACTATGTGAATTGGGGATTCATGTTTGATGTCTTGACTGCCATGGGAATTAGAGGAAAATTTCTCAATTTTCTTAGATCATGTGTGTGCACTCCCATGGTCATTGTTTCTCTTAATGGTGGATTGTGTGGATTCCTTGGCATGTAGAAAGGGTTACGGCAGGGTGACCCTTTGTCGCCCTATTTGTTTACCATTGTTATGGAAGTTTTGGATGGACTAATGAAGAAGGCTGCAATAGAGAATCAAATCCCTTATCATCCTCATTGTAAACTCTTACCATTACACATCTCTGTTTCGCTGATGATTTGCTAGTGTTCACAAATGGGTCAATCAGGGGTGTTGCGGGTGTTAGAAGATTGTTAGATGAATTCTATGGTTTGTCTGGACTACGATACAACCCTGCGAAATGTCAGCTCTTTTGTGAAATAATCCCGGAAGAAGTAAAGCATAGTATATGTCTATTCTGGTTTTCCTCTTGGGAAGCTCCCAGTTAAATACTCGGGGGTTCCTTTGATAACCAGTAAACTTTCGAGGAGGGACTGTCGTGTCTTAGTTGATAAAATTACTCATAGGGTCCAGAGTTGGAGGGCTAAGATGTTGAGTTTTGAGGGGAAGGTTCAACTTATAAGTTCGGTACTGGCAAGTATATTACAGTATTGGATGAACATTTTCTTTCTCCCCAAGTATGTCATCACAGAGGTGGAAAAGATATGCAATCAGTTCTTATGGGATATTTTGGATACAAGTGTGAGAACAAGGGCTTTGGTTGCTTGGAATTATGTTGCTCCTCCTAAGAAGAAAGGTGGCGTTGGCATTCATAACTTTGTGATACGGAATAAGGCTTGTGTGATTCGGTTCGCTTGGAGTGTTCTTCTTTCTAGTGGTTCATTATGGGTTGTCTAGGTCCTCCGCTATCGTGTTAATCAAACGTCTTTTTGGGACTTGAAAGTAGGAGCTGCCGGTTCCTGGATTTGGCAGCGTCTATTGAGGTGTCGCAATGAAATGCAACATCATGTTTCAGGCTTGTGAGATTCTTTGCTTTGGGATGGAGAGCCTATGCCTCACTACTCTATCAAAAGAGTTTGGGAGGCTATTAGGCCTCACTACTCGGTTGTTGCGTGGTCTGAACTGATTTGGAGTAGAGAAGTGGTGCCACGACATGGATTTATTTTATGGTTTGTTGTTTTGGGCAGATTGCGCACTAAGGAGAAACTACTTGCCTGGGGGAAATCTGTTTCAAGGTATTGCGTGTTCTGTCTGGGAGGCGTCGAGTATTGTTTTCACCTATTCTATGCATGTCCTTTTATGAAGTTTATTGTCTGAAAGTGTATGTCTTTTCTCGCTCCTATTGATGGTTTGTTGTCATGGGAGGAGGTGATTGAGTGGTGTGCTTACAACGGGAAGGGTAAGCAAATTGAAGTGGTTGCCTGTAGATCGTTCTTGAGTCTTATTGTTAGTCTGGTTTGGCGGGAACGCTGTTCGAGATTGTATGGGGTGAAGGTTGTAAATCCCCCTGTGGTGATTTGAAGTGATATTTGCATAGCTCTGGTTTGGTAGGCTGAAGTGGATTTGGAGCTGCAGAAGAGTCTTCATGTGATCTGTTTGGATTACTACCTTTATACGTGTATATGTTTTCTGATTTTATAAACAGTTGTATTGTTTGAGAGGCACTCAAAGAGGGGTTTTCCTTGAGTTGCTTGCGCTTAATGCATTTTTTGATTAACCATAAAAAAACATTTGTAGTGTGTTTTAACAAACTTGTGGTATGCTTTAATGAATTTATGACATACTTTAATAAACTTGTGGTAGAATAGTTTGACATTTGTGTGTGCTTATGTTGTGACATACTTTCAAACTTGTGACTTGTGTTTGATGGTCCCCACAATTTATGCATCCAATGTCCACACGTGTTTAGTCCCCTTTTCTTCTAATTTTTCACTAACTTTGTACCCGACCCGTTGGCCGGGTAATGTTTGCATGAATGATTTTTGGGCAAGTGCTTTTTTTTCCTGAAGAGTTAATTCTGTTCTAGTAAAATATGCTAGATCAACCAACCAACATCCTATATAGTCTTTCAACTCTAGTATTTTTTTTCTTTTTGCTTTGGCCCATCACACTCCCTATTTTTCTCTCTCTCTCTCTACTCTCACCTCTCTTACTACCTTTCAACTTTCATTGAAGACAATGAACTATGAACCTCAAGTTCTCCTTCATAAAAGCACACGTAATATAAAGCACTTTGAATGTTTGAAATCCAAAACATATTTTTTAGAGAAGGAAATTCAAGTAATATGAATGAATTGATCTATCTATCATCCTAAAGAAAGAAACTGTGATGATGATATTAGTCACTTACATATTATAGGAACCCTGCACAATTATCACTTTAAGAAAAAGGAAGGAAAATCCAAGTCATCCACCAATAAAAGCATTTTTTGGAGAAGCCTAAATCTAAAAAAAGGCATGGGAAAGCCACTTCTCATCATTTCTTAGAAAAGGTATCCGTGATTCCGTGGCCAGTAATAAGAAAAGAAACAAAAGGGAAAAAGATGGATCCCCAAACAAATGGAAACCAACAGAATAAATGACAAATGATGAAGTCCCAAACAAAATTCCTACAATGCAGTTGCATGAGTAGTTCTAACAATGATGAAGTCCCACAAATTAAAAAGCATGAGCAAGGTAGTCGGTTGTTGAAGATCCGTCTTCACCTAGTTATGAAAATGCTCAATTAGAATGGCAGTAGGTATACCAGAACATACAAAATAGCATACAGGTTCAGGGGAGGATAAGCTCCTCGGCCCACTTGAACTTACATTCATTGTTTATCAAATTCCTTGCTGCAACTGTCGAGCTGCAATCAGAATAGACTAATAGCCTAATTCCCAATATTTATCAAACCATAGTAATCTGTGTCATCGCAAAAGCACCAAGAATGAGTTCATAACCCCAATAAACGTTGCAACATTGAGCCACAAACACTGCAGGTAATTCCTTACCACAGTTAATCAATTGCAAAACCATAAATCAGAATTCTATCCTACAGAACTGAATGTCACCACCACCAAAAACCTAAGGTCACAGTCATATCACTCGTCGGCGTCATATATGTCAATTGCTAAATCATCATTCAATACGGCCGCCGGCGGAAGAGGATCTATACAATCGCGACACCGAAGGATAAAATTCACCAACTGGAATGCCGAATCCGGCGCGGAAAAGTCTATCACTATGAATCCGTAACAAAATTTTAAACAGAATGCAAAAACAAAGAGAAACCGAGCGGGAAATGAAAAGATGAAGATTATGACGGAGCAACTTAAGTCTGGAAGGTGTTGCGAGATCTATTCCATGGCGATCCTACTTAATAGTGGACGAACCTTGAACCGCAACGACATCTCCTCCAAGTCTCCAACTTCAAGAGGAGGAAAGTGGCCGGAAAATCGAGGGAATATGAGGAATGACCTATGGCAAGAGAACGTGAGTCTCCATCGCTTCAAGTTCCGAAATTAGGGCGGATAGTAGCTGCAGTTTCGGGTGGAATAGGGTTTTATAAGGGGAAGGAGAGCACTTAGAGTCTTAGATAGATAGTTGTCGGAGAAGAACTATGGGCAACACTTACGCGTTGGAGATTTGCAGGTCGGGATGCGATGATGGGAAGGATGTTCGGAAGAAGGGGAATCGCCGGTTTGGGGGTTTCTTATTATTTTTTCCCCCTTGTAGCGGTTGTGATTGGCGGAAAGCCTTTGCTGACGTGGAGCTCTCATAAGCGAGAAAATTTGAATTGGTGAGGCTCTAAAATGGAAAAGTCTTATTATATTTTATAGATAGATAGATAGATAATGACCAACCTATTGCTGGTCAACGCATTTAAATAATAATCAAAATGAAATGTTTTGATGTTCCTCTGTGCTTTTTAACTTATGCATATCATAAGATTTCTTAACTAATAAAAGCATTAGTCACGTGAGCATATACGACATTTTAGGAAATACAAATACTCAAATTAACTGAACGAAAGAAGAATAAATTTGATTCAACGAAACAGTGCCCCGCCCACTAATTAAACTGGAAACATAAGAGAAAAACATCTTCATCCAAAATTTTTTTTTTTTTTTTTTAATCTGAGATATGACAATAGAATACAAGAAAATTAGACCACCCTATAAGTCCCTTCCCACCCAAGAAACAAAATCAAATGAAAGCAACTCTAAATTAGACAGAGAAAGGGCTTTTCTTGCCACACTATGGGCAGCCCGATTGGCAGTTCTAGGAACCGCACAAACCTCTAAGCCTATGTCTAGGGTAGCGATCATCTGACGACAGTCTCTGAGAACCGGCCCTCCAACAGCATCTGACTCTATCCCTTTGAGAAGCTGACGAACGACGACTTCGGAGTCCCCTTCTAGGATGACTTCTCGTAGGCTGAAGTGACGAATCAAGTTTAAACCATCTCGAGCGGCTAGTAGTTCGGCTAGGTAAGGGTTGACGATCCCACGATGTTGAAGTCCAAAAGCTAGGAGCGTACGGTCGTCTGCAGACTTCAACACCAAGCCTGTAGAACTACCTCGGGAAGGATGGATAGCTGCGTCTGAAGTTGAGTTTGACGATCCCACGATCTTCATCCAAAATTCTATATAACGCGTCCCATCCATCAGAACCAAACCAGATATCTCAAAGACTTGGGGCCAAAACAATAAAAGGACGTAAGCTTCTCATACAACCAAACCTTCAGTAATCCTCATCCACTTCTTATTTATCAAGCAAGGACGCAAGACCGGAGATTGAGTAGAGACAAACTTAGTCACCAAACCAAAATCCAGCAATTACTTCTCTACATTCACTTCACAGGGAAGACAACGAACCGAACCGAACCCTTTTTACATGAAGCTTTTAAAGCGCTTCCCACTAGGCTACTTGCTAGATGTAGCGTCAGGACCATCTCTGTTATCTTCTTCTTCTTCTTCCCACTAGGCTACAAGCCAAAGTGCCAAACTACACATTCCAACAGTCCGCCAAAAGATGAAGGCGAACCACAGTTCCCTAATAAACAGATCACAGTGACATGAACAGCCTACATTAATTAGTACAAATCTAACAGCCTACATCCATTATGAGTTTTGAGGAGACAATCTAGTATCTGCTTCCTACATTCCCATCCATGTTCTATGTCACAGACTGCAAAAAAGCATGGACTGCGCGCGCATATGGGCAAGAGAAGAAAACTAATTAATCAATTGATTAAATAACTATCAAAGTGAAAGACATTGTACCCTGTCAGGGATATTCCTAGGGAAGGGAAGCGCAGTAACATATCTTTGAAGAAAGGCCTTCTGTGCATTAGAAGCGCCACCCGAGGATGAAGTGTTTACTGCTCCACCTGCTGTTTGACCTGGACCATGGAACTTAGCAAACCGATTGATGACAGAGAACTTCTCTAAATCTTCACATTCTACTCTCAAGTCTAACACAGACATGCTCCTATCCAATCTGTTGCCACAAGAAAGAAAACCACAAGATGTCAGGCATAAACGCTCGGTTTCACCCACACTGTACCACTCCACCAGCACAGAAATGGAGAACTGAGAACTCAAGACAACTGGATCAATGACTACTAGTACGACCTAAGATACAAGGATGACCATGTTAAACATCCCGAAATTGCAGACACTAAAATGACTAATAAATTCAAAATGTGATAAGCCACGAGCAAGTGGGCACCCCTCTCCTCACTGCAACTCCAACAAAAACAGAGAAGGTACCAGCAACCTAGTTCAAACAAGACAGCTGCTAAATAGCATCCTCCAGGGTCACTAGCTTTGAGAGGATCGATCCCAAAGAACTGGGCCAAAAGAGACGGACCATATCAAGAAAAGGAAAGAGAAGATAAGCTCAAAATCACATTTTAGCACACTAGACACGAGAGCCCATAACCAAACAGACCACACACTACGTAAGGCATCAGTTCAAGCAACCAAAGGACTGAGGAGAACAACAAAATACCTCAGCAAGTCACTTTCCACCTTTCTTGTTCTCTCAATGAGATCTTCCATAACTTTCGAGAAGTATTGATCACTTTTAGTTTTAGACATTCTGAGCCTCTCAGGTATTCTAAAGAAAGGAAAGCAACAGATTGATTAGATGCGAACGGAATGGAATGCACTGTTCAGGTAAAAGAATTCTTATGCACAAGAAACAGAGACAACCACCAAATTTGTAATCTAATTCAATGGGCTTCCTTACATGTTGCCACTTTTGGAAGGTGGGGAAGCGTGACTGGCGGAGCCAGAGACCGAACAACATACATCTCCCAGTGTCAACCGAGCAACACAATGAGCAGCACTATCATATTGAGAAGTTGCATGAGCAGACATTATCCACGATGGAGGAGGATGAAGCAGTATCTGCATAAGCTGTGTCGTCAACATCAATCTTTTCTTTGATTTTATGGCTGGCGGCCCATCATATATGATTTCACCATCATCTTCCACCTGTCATCAGAAATTACAGCATTATCAACACCGCTTCAAAATAAACTGGATAAGACAACAAGCTAATTCCAAAAGGGATTACTTATGTAAAGCTCATTATTGTTCAACAAACCTTCTCAGTCAGACGGTGAACTGCCTTTGCCCATTCACCTTCTGCCAAACTGCAAGCAACAAACTTTGCATATGTCAAAATAAAATAACTGAGTATAGGAAGGGGGAAGACAATATGAATAAGCAATATGCAAAAACCCGCAAGCAGAAAGTAATTCTCAAAAAAGAGTTAACCAAAGCAACGGACAAGAATGAAATCATTAGCACCTCATATTCGGAAGCCTATGCGGAATCTTTATCACTTCCTTATGCCATGGAACAAGATCACATGTGACACTCTTGCGCTTCTTTGGTCTTACCACAAACAAACTCATACCAACAGAGTCAGGCCGTGACAGTTGAGGAAAAGAAAACTCCTCACTAATATGTGGCGTAGAACTTATCCTAACTAGGCCATGCTGATTTGCATCATCGACAGTGGTTCTTGCAGCCTCTAATGGACCTGGAATAGGCAGTCTATTAGAAGACCTGCCACCACTTAGAGCTAATTCTGCATGCTTCATGGCAGTAACTTTTCTAGCATCATATGTGGATAAAACCTGTCCATTCTTGAAGGTGCCATACTGATTAAACCATGATGGAGCCATCTGGGGACTGATCTGAGAAAGGTCACCTTTACCAGTAACCCCATCATTGCTGTCTGCAAAATTTCTAGAAGTGTTCCCACCAAACTCATGCATGTCCTGAGAAGGAAGATTCGGCCCATGCACGTCCGTTTGTCTCCCAGAAAAGCCAACTGCTTTTGGATCATCAGGAGAACTTGAAGCATTGTTTAGTAATGTACCTGTGGCAGTGTTAGCATGTCCAAACAACTGCTGCCCACCCTCAGAAGCAGCTAACTGAGGATCAACACTACCATCAGATCCTTTCGGTCTCTTCAAACTCCTACCACTTTGATCTACATCCCTATTCTTCACATCCTGCACTTGATGCAGCAATGAGTAATTTTGACTCAACGAAGCATTGGGCCTCAAAGAGCATCCAAAAGCTGCAATATCCATTTCAGTGCTTACGGTGCTTGAAGCATACAAGTTTCCAGATGACTCAAACACTCCCTCTGACTTCTCCATACTGAGCGAACGGCTTCCCGTGATCTCACATCCCTTATGGTTCGTTACTGGATCAGCATGTTTCCAGACATCAAGATTGTTTCCTAGTTGAGGAACATCTCGGCTGCTATGTTGGTTGAGCATCATACTGCTGAAACCCGGAGTACTATTCCGGCTAGAATCCTGTGTGTTGACTGGAGGGCTACCAGTACTAGATTGTGTGGAGATTGTCCCAACAGCTGAGTTGGAAACAGGGTCAGTTCTCCAAATGTTCTTTCCTATCGAGCTCTTTAAATCATTTGTAGAGGGAGCTTGCAAAGGATTTTGATTCCCTTGACTCTTCAAAGCTGAGCCTGTATTTGATGATGCTGAATCAATGAAGTTCCAACCATTTTGTCTAATGAATGATTGGCCAATTGGATTGTGCAGGGGGGAGCCTGCCTGATTGGCCCAGGGATGGGAAATGTTCATTGCACTTGAATCCACAACGGGAGAATGAACAACCTTTTCATGATTATGGCTCACTTCAACAGCAGCCTTTTGTTGATGGCTCCCATCAAGCCATTTGGTATTACTTTTTACAAACTGCTGAGAAAATTTCCGAAAAGAATCCATCTGTGACTTTTCACTCACATCGTGTGGAGAGCTCACCCCAGAACGATTAACTCTATGCATTTCATTACTGTTTATACCTGTATTATCATCTGATTGATGGAAGGGATTATTCAAGGTCAAGCCAGTTTGGAAGCTGTTACCTGCCCAAGCTGTTTGTTGTTTTCCAGATCCATTTACAGTCCGGATCAGACGATTTCCATTTTGAGGTTCTGTACACTGGCTACCCGGACCACTCCATTCCTCTTGTGCGCTAACATCCACACTAGAAGCTTCTGCTACGGCTGACTGCATAAGAGCACTCCAAGTTCCACTTTGTAAAAATGACAAAGCACCACCCGGTGCCTCCGTACTCTCCGTATTCAAACATCCAGAACCCACATGATCACTGTTTCCAAAAGCATCCCACAAATTATCATCAGACCCATACAAAATCCTCTCTTCGGTTGGATCTAGTGTTGTGGCATTCTGAGAAGACACAGCCTGACCAACAGTCTTCTCCTGTGATGGTATTGATGGACCTTCTCCATCTTGCCTCTCAAGGAATTCTTGGGTTGGCACACTACTTTGCCAGGAATTCACTTGCTGGAGACATTCTAAATTACTTCCACTGTCCACGCCTTGAGTATCTACGCTTCCAACCACATTTCTCCCCTGAAATCCTTGTCTCGATCCCGAAGGTCCTTCTTGATCATTCACCTTGTTTGATGAAACTGTATACTGATTAGCTATAAGGGAATTATTATTGCTAGACATCTGCTGGGGAGGGGCTTTGTCCATTTGGATGGGTGAAAAATGACTTGAAGTAACTCTTGTTCCAGAGATGGGGACGCCATAAAGAGATTGATCAACCTTCTGCGGAACCACACCCATCAAGTGAAGTGCTTGGTTTTGTTCCAACGAAAATCCAAGCCCGCTAGATGAGCCTCGCATGTCTGGAGACATACTATGCTGTTGCCAGTTTGTGTTAGCCGCAATAACCTCAGGCTGCAATAAATAACCAGATGCATCCTGTACAGGAATTCCATTGATCATAGATTGGGACTGACTAGCAAGCACATGTTTTCCGAGAGAGGACACGTGATTCAAAATATTAAGTTGCCTAGTTGATTCCTGTTGCTGCAGTTGTTGCATCTGATGCTGTCGCTGTCTCTGAAATTCTTGCATTTGCTTGAGTATCAATTGTTGCTGCAGCAGCTGCATATCCCCGATCCCCAAAGGTTGCCTATGAAGAGATTGCAGAATTCCAGGATGCTGGGGACTCATCTGATGCTGACCCCCAAAAGAGTCAAAATTAACTGGAGATTCAGTAGAGTCCATCCTAACTAAATTTCGTTTGTGAAAGTCAGGGCCGTTTCCTTGATGGGAATCAAATGCGGAAAAACCCTTTGGTGTTAAATTATGCCGATCAGATTCTGTATCCATTCCCAAAAAGTTTGTCTCATTCTGCCTCATCTGGAAACCCTGATGACCCTGAAAGTAACCATTTATAGTTGGTTGCTGATCTTGTGATTGACTTCTAGCATGCTCTGTTCTTTCAATTGATTGTTGAAAGCTCAAATCATGCTGCACAGGTGATGACTGACCACCATATCCTCTCTCATAATCAGCCACTGGGAATACAAAAAGAGATTATCAGGAGATGCAATTAAACCAACTTTCCGTACTCCAATCATAAGTTTGTTAGGATTCCAATTACTTAACGAAATAGAATTTTCTTTAAGTGGTCCAACCAGTGAGATGGAAAATACTTCTGTAGGATCTGAAAGGACCTCACCAACAAGTAAAAGAACTGCACAAGGGCAAGGAGTTGATACCTGATTGCTGTAAACTGCGATTTATTAAATCAGATATGAAGGGTGTGGCAATCTGTCCCTGACTTCCAGCCCACGGATTCGCACTCATCCCAGGCCAGGCTGCATCAGCAATTTGCGAGTGTTGTGGGACCGGAGAAGAAGTCTCCTGACCAAAGAAATTGTGGATCCTATCTCCAACTTCGTTGCCAGGCATAGATAATTCCCCTCACAAGTTCTCAGTAGCTTAGTTATTGACTGAACAAGCTATTTAACACCTGAAATAAAATATAAAAAATTACTATATTCTTCAAAATGTCATCGTAGAGGAGTAAGCATGAAAATTACGCGGTATACAAACTCTATTGGGTTCATGTGAATGTCATCCAGCTATAATGACCCCAATACTTCTCCTCGGGCTGCATTTAAGACATGAAAATAGAAGCTATAAGAACACCTGATGAATGTCTAATCAAATATTTACTTTTCAGCACAGTGACAATAAACACATGACAGGAAGAAAATAAAGTTTCTCAATAGTAAACTGTTTAATTCACTAGCTAAAATGACCAAACTCTCTGCACAAGTGCAGCAAGGATATAGAAATAAGATAAAAATGTTGTGATGACGAGAATTGTTGAAGCACAAAGGGTGGTTTACAATATTTATTAAAAAAATACAAGCCTAGAATTACAGGTACAAACAATTGCTGCAATTAGAAATTAGTTTCTAACTAACAAATTGGGCTCAAATGAATTGTAAACTAAATTATGAGGGACGCACTATTCCAACTAAGTCATTTCCTTTTTACCCATCTTGGCAAGTGATAAATGATAGTCTAACACCATGTGCTAGATTTCTAGTGGAAATTAAAACATATGCACTACATATGTCAACGAATCAGTGACTTTACTGGAAAGCACGTTCCAAATCAACAAAGATCACTGAATGAAGAATTCAGCTTTAAATTCGAACTTTGCTGTCAAATAGCAAAATCATTTCTCCACCAATATTCAATAATGTCTCTCCACCTTCACATATCAGGCTCTACAAATGAGCATCCCATGAATAGAGCAAAGAAAATTTTAATCTTCGATATGACTGGGACATTGTGACCAACATACTCAACTATTTCATAATTCACCTCATTTAACTACACAAGACGAAGTTCTTATGGACCCCGTTGGCCAAGGAGAAATACACCTAAAGGTCAACCTTATCTCCAAGACATACTAAGAGCTTGACATTATCGCTTCCTAGATCCTCTGTAATACACAAAATTGGCTCCATTCATGTACAGAATTTCAAAGGGAATATTCAAAAACAATGAAGCTTCAGAGCAAAAATAACATTGAACAATCTCTATGCTATTTGTTGTCATGTGTCACCATCACACCTAGGTGACTTTCTACATCTTACACGGAATAAAGCAAGCGACAATCACTGCATCAGAATATCCATCTTGGTTCCTACAGAGGTCGACCAACTCTTTTAGGTAACGAAGCAAATATAATCATATCAGACATCCAAGGGGAGGCTTTCCAGACCCGTGAAAAGTTTACGCCAACTCTCACTAACCAAAACAGAAACCATCATCGTCACTAACAAATAACTTATCATCATACATTCGAGCACCGGAATGGAATTAGTCAACCAACGATTTCTACCATGCAGTACCAATTGAAGTTTTCCCCAAAGCTCTCAACTATTAAAACTCAACGCATATTCAAGATCAAGTAGGCAAAAACAATGTATGAAAGTCAGATGATATCAGATTTGAGGATCATTAAGGCGCAATCGAACTTATGCACGTGACCTTTTTAGAGCAATTAATGCAACAAACCAGCCAATGAATTCCAAATATAACCCCGGGTTCAAACACCACTATGCATCAACCAGGAAAATTTCTGTGAAAGCAGCTTCCTCTTCCTAGTTGCCGCGAAAATGCAGGTATGTGGGAGGGAAATCCAACAAACGAAGTCCAATTTTGTCTCAATTAAGAACAAAGCAGCGAGAACTGATCTCTAAATCCCAGTGGAACAGAGAGAAGCGAAGTAACGGAAGACAAAATTCACGTTTCCCTAAGCTCCCTAAGCATTAAAACCTACAGCGGAAAGCCATATTCCAAATCCAGCATTCATTAACACTTGACCAAAAACGATCGAGAAACGAACTCTCAAATTCCCACCCGAAACCAGCCTCCCACGAGAAGCACAAAAGCCCAAAACAACAGAATAAGCTGCTAGAAAGCTGCCCCGTCGAAAGCACGATGTCGATTTAGTTCGGCTCAGGTAACATAGTTGACAACAATGAGCAGAAGGTTAGGGTTTCGACCCAGTGAGAACTTAAAGGGAGAAGAGAAAAAGCTTTGTTGAACTCACAGTTCGTGTACAGGCCACCATTTCCGAGCTGGAAACCGATCCTCGGAGACAAAGAATTCGCGCAAATTTTAGGGTTTAAACCAATGGCAACGCGGAGGTATCAGGAAATGAGGCGTCTCAGAGCTGAGCGAGAGACCGAAAGAGAGGGAGAGGGAGATAAAGCGATCGAAAAAGTGGTTGAATGGTTGGAGGTGGACCCCACGCGTTGGTTTGGACGGTAGGAGTATGGGTTGGCATATGGTAGGTTCGGTTTCCCGAACCCGAACTCGAACAAAACCAAACCCAAAATACCCTCTTGTTCCAAGGTGAATTTCACCCAAAGTAGGTATGGGCCGGTTTGTCCCGAATTGAAATAGTTCGGGTTTGGTTTGGATTTGATTGGCGTCGCTTGCCACAACCAACATTATCGACCGATCGTTGGATCTAGAGGCTGAAAGATGATCGACATAGCTAGATTGCAAAGAAGATTGAGAGAGAGAGAGAGAGAGAGAGAGAGAGAGAGAGGGTGGAGGTGCATGCATGGCTAAATATGAAAGGATCCTCCGATAAGGGGAAGAGAGGAGGAGGGATGGTGGCGACTGCAACGGAGTACCGCCGCGAGGAGTAGAGGTAGGAGGAGGTGGTTGGCGCATCGACGATGGAGGACTGCCAACTGTTATTGTGTTTCAATCTGGACTCAACGATGAGGAGGTGAAGGGTGGGGTGACGGCGAGAGGTTTAGATGGAAGGAGGTTAAAATCAATTCGCCGAGATGGAAGGAAAGGAAGGGGGAGGAGGCGAGATTTCTCTAGCCAAAATTTCAGAAGACGAGAAGAGATGGACGAAAGTAAGCGAAGATGGGGGAGGCGGTGAGATTGAAGGAAAGAAAGGCGGAGGGGGCGAAATGGAAGGGAATAGGGAAGGATTAGGGATGCAATTAATTGCATCGTAATGTTAGAGGGAGAGGAAGGTGGGTCGGGTAAAGAAAGAGGTCGGTTGGGCTTCGTGTGGAGAGTGAGCCCAGTCACGAGGCTATGTGAGTGAGGGTGGGTAGTGTGGGAATCGATAGTTTGGTTAGTTTGGTTTCGGTTTACCGAACTGTATGCCCACCCCTAGGTAGGAGTCTTGTGAATGTCTAGATCAAAGGTTGGATCAGTAGAACCTTCAAACCAGTACGATAGTGGTCCAGTCTTTGTTTGGACGGTCATTGATGGACCAAACGAGTTTTCACTGTTTAATTGGTCAACTGGTTCACTATTTTAACTAGAAAATTATATTTTAAAAAAATATTGTAACGTAAACTAATACCATCAAACCAGAATTATTACTATTGTCTCTGCTTGCTCTTCGCATTTTACAACATTGTTGTCGACTTACAGGATCCACTGCTGACTGACACCGTAATTTTTCACTTGAATTAAGAAAATTATGATTATATTGTGAGACGGTTTGAATGATTTGTTAGATATTTTGGTGATGATATGAATTTGAAATAGTTTATGATCAGTGATAACTTCATTCTTAAATTAATGTATTATAAAAGTCATGGTGTATGTTATATATCATGAACGGTACTATTAACGATTTTGTAACGGTTATCTGTGAAGTCTAAACCATTAACTTTTCTAGTTCTGCGTCCGCTCCAGTTATGAAAACGGAGGAAAAAACATAGACATAAATTTTTTGGTATGGTATGATTAGAGCTGAGAATATAGAAGAGACCATTTGAAAACTATAGACATAAATTTCTTTGTTTGGTCTAGTCTAGTCAAGACTTTGGTTTACCAGACTAGACCGTGGACTCTGTCCACTTCCTAACTCTTGTTGGTAGCTCACTTGATCACTCTCCCTACTCTTCAAAGAGACTCAAGTCTCAACTCTAATTTTGCGAATCATGTCTCCTCCCTCATTCATAAACAATTTGTCAGAGAGTAGAGAAATCATGTTTCCATATGATATTGATGGACCTCCTACTATGCTTTAAAATTACTATAACTTGACCTTTTTGACCTGCTATAGCAGGTTTTCTTGGTCGCATTACATAAAATTAATGTTTATTACGCAACAATTACGTAATGCTTGTTAGTCTTACGTAACAGTTAAACTAGAAGCGTAACAGAAGGTTTCCGTTACAACTTATCATTTTACGTAACGCTAGGTTAATATTCATTACCTAAAAGCATCGTCTATTACATAAGGCTTCCGTAATGAAATTTTACAAGTGTTACATAAAATACACGCTCATTACACAAATGTTACGTAACGCAGGTTATTTCTTACGTAATAGTTAAATTAGAAGTGTTACGTAAGACTTCCTTAATAACTTACCACATTACGTAACTTGATTAATATTCATTATGTAAAAGGACCATCCATTACGTAAGGCTTTCATCATGCTACTTTACAACTATTACGTAAAGTATGCATCTATTATGTGAAGGTTACGTAACGATAGTTATTTCTTGCGTAACAATTAAATTAGAAGCGTTATGTAAGTCTTCCGTAATCATTTAACAGATTACGTATTCATTATATAAAATGAGTGTATATTATGTAAGATTTTCGTAATGACATTTTTCAACTATTACGTAAGATAAATACACATTACGTAACCATTACGTTATGCCTATTGTATTTTACGTAATTCGACTTGTGAAACCTGTTATAGTAGGTCAAAAACATCAAGTTATAATAACTTCAAGGCATTATAGGAATTTCTTATGATATATATTATGTTAATGTTTATGATGTTATTATGCAAGTCGGGTTGCTCTGACTTTGTGTCTTTATTATTTCCTTGGATTTATGATATCAATATTGTGTTCGTGCGTTGAAATTTATGTTTGAAGAGAAAAACTAAATTATTTCTTAGTTATTGGTTCGATTTTTTGTGTGGTTGACTAAACTAACTTTTCATTTTTTGCTCAATGTGGTCTGCATGGTCCAGACCGTACCAAACCAGATCACACAAGCGCGGTCTGGTCTGGACCATGAAAATTTGGTCTGGTCCTTGGTCTATGCTCCAACTTTTCGGTCTGGACCATAGATAAACCGTATGTAAGGTCTGGTCTGAACCATACCGCACCGTTTCTCATCCCTACGTTTAATGGGTTGGATTCACATCATCGGACTATAAGCCCACTTGGTAATTCTCAATGAGCACTGCTGAGCTTATACTAAGGCTAATGGAAAAAATAATCATTTACCTTCGATGTCATTTACATTTAAATCATTTGCCGAAGTAGGTAATCTTGGCACCGGGATTGAAAGTTGGACGAAATAGGGCGAAAATGGAGCAAAATTGTTGATAGTGCTGAGGTCACCAGTTGCGGAGCAATTGTCACGGGCGCAAACTTCATGTCAACACTCCAACCGTGAAGTTCGCAAGGTTCCGGGAGGATTTGTATGGCACGCGGGCAGTGTCAAGATCACGTTCTCCAAACCGTGATGTTAACAAGCGGCCCGTGAAGTTCGCTAGTGAAACGACGTGTTTTGCTCCGAGATCACGGTTTCACTGTCGACGTCACGAGCGTGATGTGCGAGCGTGAGTTGTGCAGTCAAAATCTATAAAATGGAGGGTTAGCTGAATTCAAAAGGAGGAAATCCTAGAAAGAGATTGGAGCTTCTTCTTAAAGGTTGAGAGAGAGAGAGAGAGAGAGAGAGAGAGAGAGAGAGCTACGAGCTAAGGAAGAAGGAAGAAGGAAGGAGAATTTCACCTACCTAAGGCGAGAGGAAGGTTGATTTCTTCTTCAAAGGTTGAATCAAGCATCTAAGAAGAAGGAAGATCATCTTGCTATGAGTTTTTCTTCTCTCTTATTTGTATTTACTCCTCTAGCTATGAAGTAGTCTCCAATTCCACTTAGATGTTGTGAACCCTAGTTTAGAATGTGTTAGATTGTAGGAATTGAACTCTATGTGTGTTGAATATATGATTAATATAATGATTGAGGTATTATTTATAGAATTTGGGCTTATAGTCCTAACTAAACATTCGTCGATGAATTAAGAGGTTTAATTAGGATTTCCTAACTAATTGTGACAATCCTTAATCGATCCATTGAGAGGTTTGGGGTTTCCCTAGCTAATTGTGACCTCCTCACGTTATATGATCCTACTTATCACACTAGAGTTCAATTCGTTGTATCTTGACACGAGAATAGGGGGAACAATATCCTAGTGATTCTTTCTCAATCGAACTCACCAAATTTTATTTGCTTGCTTGATTATTTGTTTAGTTTCATTATTTCAAACCACCATCCAATCGCTAGATAACGAGTGAACAATTGAAGTAAGGGTATATAGACCACTCGGATTGATACTGAAATACTTATCCTATCCTACACCCGTCTATAGGTTGCACTTGGCCTATAGTTGGTATTAAGTGTAGTGAGAGCCAAGTCACCATGTTCTATAAAGAAAATGTGGCACAAAGTTTTTTTTCCTGAAAATAGAATAAAATGTAAGTAAAACATCAATTAACAAAAAATTATTTACAATATTATTTAAAGAATAGAATCTTTCTAATATTAATTTAAATAAAGATATATAAGTATTTAAATAGAAAGATGCAATAAAACACCTATAACATGAGAGATTGAATCAAATAAAATTAAAACAAAAGAATCAAATAGTAACTAAATTGACAATTAATCAATTGACTAGACTAATATGAATATATGATGAAAACTTAATTGAGTTGAAGAGGAGAACAATTTTAGAATAATCGAAGAGTATAACCAAATAATATAGAAAAATGAATCTTTTTTTGTGTTGGTTGTTGGAGAAAAAAAATATTAGATAGAAGATACTGATAATTTTGTAGTATAAAGTTAAGTAGACAAAACTTATTTATAATTGATTTACTTCATTTTTTTTACTATTGTTGGCTTGTGCCTTATTGTGGAATGTGGATAACGTTAATAACAAATCAATGCAGATGATTTAATTACTTAAGCATTGTTGTCTTGCTGTGTATATGCAGATTAATTGACGGAATTGAATTTATTTTCTCCTTGGAAGCTGAAAATGAAGAAAGCTAAAGCAACAAATGGTGATAATACTAATAATAAGGAGAGACCATCAATCTCAATTCTCTTATCATCTCTAGAAAACAAACAACTAACAATGAACTCTGTTATATGACTTGAAAAAAGTATAATAAGAAAGCAACTCTTTCCCCTTATATGATCAATTCGGTCTTTTATCCTTTGGTTATTATTATTATTATTATTATTATTATTTTATACACATAATTAAAATCCAATATATGAATTTTCTAATGCTTGAAATTCACAATCAAAATTCATATTATATAATTGTAATTAGCCCTATTAGTAATAGAGACCCAAAAGACTCCCTATAATTTGGAGACTCTTTGCTGAACGACCTCCCATCATACAAGGATGAACCTTGGACTTAACCTAAAATCTTGTATATTCTGTAGTAACTTTCAAAAAGATAAAATTTCTAGTGAAACAAGCCGAGGAATCTAGCTGAAGTCGGTGCGCGGAGGTGACACGTATATTTGACATTCACAACTGTATGTTGAATCTTAGTCCGTTGACACCGTGAAAGGCTAGAATGCTAACTTCTTTGAGGTTTGCACCATATTAACTCCTTTAATCATCGTACAGTGTGTATAAGTTTAATAATATGATAGAGAGTAGTGAATGGCTTGTTGGGTATTTCAGAAAATTAAATTAAATCAAAATGTTAAAATAGCTCTATTCTATGTATGGTAACTAGTAGTGGTTTTGGTAGTTATAGTAGGCATTTTAAAATTTCTTGTACTAAATTAATTTTTATTAATAGTGGTTTTGCAACTTCAAATTAGTAGTGATTGTGGAATTTATGAAATAAATGCTACTAAAAATGAAAAATAAATATGACAAATAAGTAAATCACTACTATTAGGTAAGAAAAAATTACTATTCAAAATACCTACTCGGTACTAATACAAGCAAATACCTACTACACATTCATTACTACAAGCAATAACCCAAGCACAACACTACTAAAGAAATGTTACATAATTATTCCATCGCAACTCTTTAGTCGTCGAATCAACCACGCCAGATCCATCGAGGATTCATCGTCCCAAAATTGCTCCATCACAAAACCCAGATCCCTCCCTCATCGCCTATCTCCTCCGTTGCCATTTGACGCCCTCACCAACTGCCTCCTCCATCATCATCATCATCATCATCGACCCCGCGATCATGCTCCATAGGAGGAGAAAGAGAGTATCCATATCTGAACCTTCCTCCGTCGAGGCGATCACCATCGTTGCCCACGCTGCCTGCCTCCTCCGTCGCCATCGACAACTCATGACCATATCGCCATTGGAGGAGAAAGATAGTCTCCAGATCAAACACTTCCACCGTCGACTTCATTGTCCTCGCTGCCTACCTCTTCATTTGTCATCGATGCACTTGCCACCGCTGGCCACCTCCATCGCCATCGATGACCTGTGACCAAGCCGCCTTTAGGGGAGAAAATAGAGAATACTGGTTGGGTACTTGGGAGGGTTTTTAAAAGGTGAAAGGGAGGGGACCTTTTCAGATAGAGGCGGCAAAATATATATACGAGGTTCTGAGATTTTTTCTTTTATAATAAGCCTGTTTCATTAAAGGAGAAAGGGATTACAACTCAGGCAGACCATCTGCCTCAAGGAAGGAAGCAAAAAGGCGGAGAATAGAGTGTCCATTCCTCATAAACATTCCAAACATGAGCCCAATGGGCCAAGAAATGAGCCACAATAGTAGTGTTACGATTAGAGAAGTTAAAAAAAAACCCTATCCGATAGCTTGCTTGAGTTCGGCGACAAGGTCCTGAATTGCGTTGCATCTTCCTTGCAGTTCGGTGAAATCTTTCTCTCTATTCTTTAGTTTCTAGATCAGGGTCAAGCAATCAGACTCATTGATCAAGGGTCCCATCTGATTCTGAATAGCAGCTCTCAAACCCATTTCAATCGCAAGAGCTTCTACTTCGATGGGTCTAAGAATTCCCTTCATCTTCATGGAGAATGCCACTATGCCAGGCAAAAACCCCTCACTCCATCAGGATTCAGGCATCCCGCATCACAGTTTAGCTTAAAGAATCCCGTTGGGGGACGTTTCTAGTGATGTTGCTGATCAGATCCAATGTGAAGATGTTGAGCGGGTTCATTTGGCAAATAATCTCTAGGTAATAAGCTGGCCACTGTAAAGCTTTAGGGATAATATCTTTTTCATCCATCTTGATGTTGTTAAAATGGTGATTGTTCCTTTCTCTCCAAATGAACCAGAGTATTGCGCTAAAGCGTTGAACTATCTCAATTGGGAATCTTCTAAAGACCTCATTGATCTAGTCAACACAACTCAACCCCACACTCGAAGCATTCAGCCTCCAGACTCGTTTTCCAAAGTTGCCTGGTCCATCCGCAATCATGTAGAATGTGTTCCTAGGTTTCCTCTAAGCCACAAAAGGACATTCAGGTCCCACATCATCAATTCTATCCCCTAGATTGGCTATTGTCGGTAAGATATTTCTGCAAATTTTCCGTAACAAGAATTTGACTTTAGAGGGAACGTTCAGGTTCTAGATTTTTTCCCATAGGCCAGAATTAGGAATCTATTGCGATAGGCGATACCAACTAGTATCTTTGTTGTTTTCTCTTAGCAAGTTGTATGGTGATTTAACTAAATATGCACCATTCTCAATCCCCGTCCAGACCTATTCATCTTTTCATCACTCGCTATCGAAAACCTCTCCCTAACAGATCTTTAACTTGGGTATTTCCCACTTTGGCTTGGAAGATATCACAGGAAGGGATGTACTTAGCTTTTAGGACCCCAGTAAGCAAGGCCTTAGGTCTTCTCATAGGATTCCATAGCTGTCTTCCAAGTATAGTTGTGTTGAAGTCCCTTAGCTCTTTGAACCCGAGGCCTCTTGTGTCTTTGATGTCACATAACGACTCCCACTTGAGCAATTTCATTCGATTTTCATCACCTTTCTTACCCCACCAAAAATTTGCAATCATTTTCTCAATATCCTGCAAAAAACCATCAGAAATGTTGAAGATGTTCATATGATACACAACCTGTGCTTGGACCTCAACTTTGATTAAGGTTTCTTTGTCTGCTGTCGATAGTGGAAAACTCTTCCAGTCTTTTAATTTCTTCCTCACTCTTTTCTTAAGGTCACCAAAAAAATATTCTTTGACCTGCCAACAATCGTAGGGAGTCCCAAATACTTCTGGTGCTTATCAACCTCTTTAATACCCAAAGTGCCACAAATTTCAAGTTTCTGACTGGGTTTAAGATTTCTACTGAAAGATAAATCTAATTTAGAGAGATAATTTGTTGCCATGATTCAGAAGGATAAATCATTAAGATCTATTTAAGCTTATTCACCTCCCTGCATTTGGCTCTTCCAAAGATAACACAATCATCGACGACAAATAAATGGGAAATGATAGGGGATTTCCAACACACTCGAATTCCATGGAGATCCCCTCTACTTTCAGCCTATTTAAGAAGCATTGTTAGGCCTTCAACACAGAGGAGAAAGAGGTAAGGGGATCGAGGATTTTCTTGCCTAAGTCTTCTGGATGGAAGGAACTCCTGTGATCTATGGCCATTGACCTTCACAAAATAGCAAATAGAGGTAATACATATCATAGTCGGATCCACCCACCTGTTGTGAAATGCCATCTTCTCCATGACCTTTTTTTAGGAAATTTCACTCAACTCCGTCCTATGCTTTGGCCATATTGAGCTTTGCAGCGAAAAATTCTTTTTTTCCCATTTGTTCTATTTTTCATTGCCTTGAAAACTCGAAAGCAGTTATAATGTTGTCCGTGATAAACCTTCCTGGGATGAAGGCACTATGAACATAAGAAATGATCTCATCGAGGATATCTACGAGGGTTTGAGATGAGTAAAATGAAGTACAAAGTATTAGCCAAACCTTTTCGATGTTTCAAAATATTAGCCAAACCTTTTGAAATATGAAGTATTAGCCAAACATTTGACAGTGATACAATGTTTTAGCCATATTGTGTTATTTTTAACCATATTACTAACAGAGTTCTGCATCATCATCCATACTTAAGGGTGAACAAAAAGACCCGCAATTCGACTCACCCGTCCAACCCACCCGTATTTTTCGCAAAAGCTAAGGTTTAAAGTTAGATGAGGGTTTTTGATTCAGGCTCATTTGTACACTTTTTACCCCCGGTTTGCTTAATCGTTTGAAGCATTTTTACTCTAGGAGGTTTGGTTTTACGCCAGGTTTTGCCTTGTTTTGGTGTTTTTCAGACTTTGGCAGGTGGAACCAACCCCGGAGTCGAAAGTTGTACAAAAGGGCAAAAAATAAAGTCAAACGGTGGAAACAGCAGTAGATCACAGTTTGGGCTATGAGTTCACAGTCACTAAGATCGTGAACTGGAGGCGTTACTCGTGAACAGCCATGCATCCAGAGCACAAATTGCTTTCACTAGACACAAGTCAGTTCAAACAAGGAATTGTGAATTCATCCCCAAAGGAGGATCTCTTCAACACAAGGAGCAAGGCTAGCATCTCACTGATGGTTTTCCTACTTCTCTCTTGTCTTTTCCCTTCTCCTAGCATGGAGTAGTCCCTTCTTTCACTTGGGTGTTTGTTAACCCTAACTACAATTATGTGAATGCTTGTATGGACTGAATGATTTGTGTGTGGTTGTGTTTAATGTTAATGTGAAGGTATTATTCATGAATGATTGTGTCGTGTTGTGTGAAAGCCTATCAATCTAATTTCCATTCTAACCTAGGTAAAGAGAAAACCCCATTTCTTTCTTTGAAAAATGCTTGAATGTTGGGTTTTCTTAGGCAATTCATTATCTCCTATCTAAGTTAATGCAGGCAAACCTCTTAGTTTGTATGAGCATCTAGGGTTTGGTTGTGGGTGGCCGTCCAAACTCCGATTCGAGGGTGAAGTTTAACCATCCTTAGTCAATAGGTCGAGAGAGTCACGTTGGTGGCTTGGATCATATCCCCTTCCCTCGACAAAGAGACTAAGAGAGTGGCGCTTGGATACTTGTTACACTTCCCTACGGTTTACAACCCCCTCACCACACACGACCATTTGATCCAACGAGTCGTAATTGTTAGCTAGGGGGAGCAACACGTGTGAAGCCTTCTCAATTTGTGTCAAATCCATTTACCTTTGCAAACACTTTACCTGTAGATTGTTGTTTTCACCTAAAATCAACTAATAGATAATGTTTCAAGCAATCGAAGTAGGGGTACATGAACCGGCCCGAGTCGATATTTAAACATACTTGCCCTGTACTGCATCCAATTAAGATACAGTGAGGCTGGGCATAATTGGATACTCGAGCTAGACATGTTCAACATGTTCAGATGCTGGGCAGCGATGTCAGGGGTCCTCAGTCACCCCCAGTGGAGTTCTACTCCATTTTCTCCCACATCATTCCGGGGAGTAAGAGGAGTAGACCCTACGTGGAGTTCATGCTCCGAGGTCAACCGAGAGTGCTAACATATGATCGCTTCGCTGAGGCCATGGGGCTCGACTCCACCCACATGACGATGACAGGTAGGCATTACACTACCGAATTCCACAACCAGACAGCCTTCCGAGCCATCTGCCGCTCTGGTATCAGGGGGATGAGTTCAAGGCTCCAACACCAATGCTCTGAAGCTTAGGATGCCCTAGAGGATCCTGCACACCCTCCTGACAAAGTCCATCATCCCCAGCCTACAAGCAGGACACTTGATCATGAATAGAGGGTTATTATCCCTCCATTCACTGAACCGGCCGGCAGATCCGCCCCATCTGGGAGTCGTGGTTGTTACCAACTTTGCTCGATGCGAGGGCCGAGACCGAGTGAACACGATGCACTTGGGGGCATCATCACCAGGCTGGCCCGGAACTGGAGTGAAGCAGGTGCTTGAAGGGGAGAGAGAGGAATCGAGTTCCTCGAGGGCCTACGACCCTCAGTAGCTCTGCAAATCCAGATCAACCCTGCGCCAGTGCAGCCTGATCCGGAGGTTCCTCCCCCTGAGCAGCCACCCACTAGAGCTCTCGGCCACCGCCGGTGCATCGGATCCCCACCATTGCCAGCTTCATCGTCATCATCAGGGGCCGAACCCTATACCTCTGGACCCCACTTGGAGGAGCGAGTGGATTGCCTCGAGGCATACGATGTGGGAGTCATTGCTCGACTCGACCGAATAGCTGATCTTAGAGGTGGCAAATGGATTGGATCCATGGATTGGTGGATTGGTGAATCTATGGATCAAATGGATTGGATCCAATGGATTGGTGGATTCATGGATTGGATCAAGTGGATTGGTGGATTATCCATGAATCCAAATGACATCCTCAACCTTGGACCAATATGTAAAATGTGAAAAGTTTAGGTACTAAAATGCCATAGTGAAAAATTTTAGGTACCAAAATGTAATTTTCCAATGATAATTTTCGTATAAAAAATTAAATTTTAGGTATCAAAATGCAAAATATGAAAATTATAGGTATCAAACCGTAATTTGCCATTTGGATCCATGGATTGATCCATGAATCCACCAATCCAATTAGATTTGGATCAAATGGATTGGATTTAAATGGATTGTATTAGGTGGATATTTTTAATGGATTGATGGATTGGATTGGTGGATTGGATTGAGAATTGCCACCTCTAGCTGATCCCATTAAGAGGATGGCTTGACGCCAGGGCTTCCTTTTGGACGACGAGGAGTGTTCTTGCCCACGATGAGATAGCCGTCGAGGGAGACATGTGACAGAGCCGATTTATTTTGCCCCACTTCTTCACTTGCAAACTCTGAACTCTTTTTATTTTTATTTTATCCTTAATTAGTATATGAACTAGTACCTTGTGAGTTCTTTATTTTGAATCGTATTGTGAAACTTTGTTATGTGTAAGAACCTCGCCTCGAGCGAGAATGTGCGTGTGTTTGTGTTTTGTTTTTCCTTTGAAGCTCTAACATCCTACCCCAGGAATTTCTCCAACTTTCATTCACCAAGCCAAGCGGTAACATCGTTCTACCCCCTTTTTTACGTCATCGAGGGCAATGTCAAGCTTAAGTGTGTGTGTATGTTTGGGGGGGGGGGGGTAGTTTATTATTATGCTTGTGTGTGTGAGTGAATGCTTGGAGCCTTGATGTATGCCCAAATTGGAAAATTTTGAGGGCTCCAAGCAATGCATGATCCAAATGGTCGGTTGGTGGGTGAATCTCGTGCTTATTTGGTATCAATCTTAAATTGTTGCATGTAATCGAGTGCATACTATTATAATGACTGAGAATGCATTAGGGTTGTGCAAAAGCTTAGTCTCATATGTGTTTAAATGAATGGATGTCTTGACTTGGTTACTTCTTGATTACAATTTCCATGCATTGAAGTTTTTGAAATTGGAATACATGATTGGGCAGCTAGGTACCCCTGTGGGTTTTGTGCTGATCGTCTTTTTCATGTGTGATAGATCCCTCTCGACATTGTGTAACATTCATCGTTGTCACTAGTGAGTACGATGGAGGCATAGAATTAGTCCACGCCCAAAAGTTGATTGTCCCGGAACATTTTATCCCCCAATCTACCCCTTTGAGCCGTGTGACTTTGGTGGTCGTTCTAATGTTGGTAGCTTCGTGCTTGATGATCTTGATGGTGAATGAAAGAACGACCCCCGCCCATCCTTTCTTCTTGTCAAATTGTGAGTTATCCTTGTGTCTCGAAGTTCTCGCTTTTGAGTTCCATTGAGGTTCTACATAGGTGGTTTTGCACGGTTCTTGCAAGAATTGAGAAGGTAGTGTTGGAGGAAATTTCTTAAAAGGAGAGCATTGTTCATTAAATGAAAAAAGTGGCATGTGTTTGGCTCTCTTGTACCCCCCTCGAAGAAAAAAATAGAAAAAGCAAGAAAGAACAAAAAGAAGCGAAAAGAAAGAAATGAAGCGAAAAAGAGGTAATAAAACAGGGTAAATAAAAGTAGAGAGTGGTCACAAAAGTCTAAGTGTATGCTCTAGAAAGAGTTTCTTGGCACTCAAGCCATTGAAACACCTAAAATGTTTGATGACCTCCTTCATTACTAAATTTGAAATGTGAATAGCAAGATAGGCAGAAGAAGTGTGCTTGAATGGGTTCGTGATTGGTAGTAGTTTGGAAGAAGGGAAGTGTGGTTTTTGGCCGATGCTAGTGGCCTTTGTTTGTAGGAAAGTTTCTTAGTCGAGACCATAGAACCTTGGGTTTTAGGTTGAAGATGTTGGACCTCATGCCATGTTTGCCACTACCCAAAAAGTCTTTTCCCCATGTCCAAGACAATTGCAAGTCGTTTGAACCCGTGTCTAAGAGCTCCGGACATGCTAGTGATGACAACCGTCCCGTGAACTCTAGCATTTAGAGGTTGCTGTCGTGGTGGAGAGACAATAGGGTTGAGTGTTGATGATTGTGCACATCTTTTGCACCAAAAAGGTCCTGACCCCACTGGTCAAGAGTGAGTGATTCATTCTTTTGGGTTGTGAGTTCACGGTTACTAAGACCGTGAACTGGAGGCGTTACATGTGAACAACCAGGCATCTAGAGCACAGATTGCTTTCACTGGACACAAGTCACTCACGGTCGTAAGACCGTGAACTCAGGCCATTGCCCGTGAACTGGGATTAGTGATGCGATACGTTTTGACTTTAGTTCACGGTCTAGGCTTTCAGTTAACGACCGTGAACTAAGACCGTGAACTGAGCCCGATCTGGGTATATAAAGGAGGTTGAGCTGAAGGAAAGGGGAGAGAGACCTAGTGTGAGAAACTTCTTCTTCTTCAAATTCTTAGAGTGAGAAAGTGACGAAGCAAAGAAGAGGAGAAGCTAGGGTTTCATCTTCAAGCAAGAAATTGGGAATTCATCCACCAAAGGAGGATCTTGAAAGAAGTAAGATTCTTCGGTAACTTGGAATTAATGTAACCGGATAGATTAGAAAGGGATTTAGATTGGTTGAGAGGATAATTGAGAAGAATTAGGAGATTTAGAATTGAGGGATTAGGGATTTAGAGACTTGGAGGAGAAGAGAGGGATAAAATGAATAGGGTTTTGATTATTGATTTCTCATTGACTCTGACGTAATATGAAAGTACATATTTATAATAAAAGACACCCAAAACCATAACAACGATTCGAGCTGGCCGAAGGTGATGGCTGCCACGTCGACGTGGTGGAAAACTTGTTCTCCTGCATTGTAGGAGAGGATGCCGCGATGGTGGTCGGATCAAATGGTTTAACTCTCTTGTGCACGTCGCGACGTTCCACCTTTGGCAAGTTACCCATAAGGCCGAACGCAGCTCTCTGATTCGTCCTCTTGTGAACTTCTTTGGGAACACGAAATTGACTTGTCCTTGCTTCCTTCCTCCAGTAAGGAAACTTCCCATCACCTCCAAATAATCCTCCACATGATTCATATTTTGCCTAAAATTCCCAGTTAATTTCGTGTAACCAAGCTCTATTGCAATTACCGAGAATAGGCGACGAAATCACCGACCTAGAAATCAACTCGTGTTGCGATTCCGTCTCGTCGGCAGCTGGTTGTGGTTTTGGTGTGCACGCCATAGAGACTAAGGCTAACAGAGGCGATGGTGGAACTCTGGTTGCGGTGGCTCCCCCGTCGACAAACTGCTCCAATTGACGCCACTCCGTCTTCTCGTGATCCCTTGGCTCCTCGGAGTCAAAGCCATCTTCGGGATTTTGATTCTTTTTCTTGAATTTTCACCCATCACTTAGGCGGTTCAATTGGACTGGCTCTGGTGTTGCCGCAGTTTGAAACCTCGATGGTCTATCGAAGATCTTTGCTGCCGCCATCTGCTCACCCCCAGCGACCTCGCCTGCTGCCTCAACTCTGCCCTTGACTTCACTGTCTTCAGTCGATCTCGCTACGATTGGTCGCTCTTCCTTCCCATCGTGCCCAGGAGGTACGATGGCTATAAATGGTGGTTGAAAAGTTGTCTTGGTGGTGATCTTGGGCATTTTAACAAAGAGACTACCAGCTCTGAAGCTGACGCAACACTTTGCATCGTCGTCTGGAGCTTCGAACAGATACTGCCTCTCAAATCGGCTCCATCTGTGATTGTCCTCCAAAGGTCGGTGTGTCGTTATTAATAGAATCTCCGATCCAATCTTGTGCACTTTTACTTGCTCCTTCTCGAACATAGGCAAGGAGAATAACATGCGGACTTGATGGGGATACTCCCATATATAGACTTTTGGCTCGAGATCTTCATACCTGCAGTATTCCCCAATTGAGAGTTGTGATGAACTCATATTCGCAACCGGAGCTCTGATACCACTGAAGGTAGTAAGATTCTTCGGTAACTTGGAATTAACGTAACTGAATAGATTAGAAAGGGATTTAGATTGGTTGAGAAGAGAATTGAGAAGAATTAGGTGATTTAGAATTAGGGGATTAGGGATTTAGAGATTAGGAGGAGAAGAGAGGGATAAACTGAATAGGGTTTTGATTATTGATTTCTCATTGACTCTGACGTAATACGAAAGTACATATTTATAATAAAAGACACCCAAAACCCTAACAACAATTTGAACTCGACTCGGCCACACCCGACCGGCTAACCCCCTACTAACCATAATATTTATGTTTCCTACAATCCACCCCCTTAAAACCAACCTTGCCCTCAAGGTTGACTGACTTGATCAATTCTCCCGTATTTATCGCGCAATCTCAATGTTAAATCCATAGTTTTGATGCTTTCTTCTCTTCCATTTGCGATCAACCATTCGAACTAAACTTATGGCACAAGCTACTATGGCATAAATGAATTTCTCATCAATGACAATGGAAGCAATTTCACCCGTGCCGCCATCTCCATCTTTATCTCATTGGATCACTTCCTGACACTTCATAATGGCTCATTTGCACACTCCCACATCCCCAATCATGCCCGCTCGTTGCAAACCCACATGTAGGCCATTGAGTGGGGTATACTTGGGAGTTAACACCTCCACCACTAGACCACCATCCGAACTGTAACCAAGATTTAAGCATGACATGATTGGATCCGATCTCCCTCCAAGGCGAACACCTTCTCCCAACGCAACTTAAGTCACCAACTACAAGAGCTTGTCTTTTTCTGAGTGTCCCAACTTTGCACTGTCCCCCAATACCGGCTGCAAGAATAGCGTATCCAACTCAAGTTCCCACGTACTAAGTTTCGAGATCATACCATACGTCTCATGCCCGGAACGAAGCCCACCAAGAAATGCAACCGTGACAACAATGCTCTCTTTCATTCGCGTAAGGTAATTGATATCCATGGCTCATTCATTACTAGGCTTAAAGAGTTTCAAGAACACAAGATAATTTACCAGGCTATGCGCTTTTAATCGAAAGCAATGACCCAAAGCTATCTGCACCCCCTTTGCAGCAGCTCGTGAATGATGGAAATAAGTGACTTGGGCAAACATCGAAGTAGGGGCATCGACAATTGGACGCGTGACTATCCCACATAGACGTGCATTTTCTTATGTTGCGGGATCAACTTTCCCTTAAGTCGAGTGAACTTCAACCGCTCCTCCCACTCGAAAAACTCATCTCCCGTTGCTTCACATCTCTGCCGTATGATGAATATCTTCCCCCTATAGGAGTCATCCTCAAAATTGGAGCGGCCTCGGTGGACTTTTCGTAGTAAGCACCCATAGCTAACCAAGCTCCTCTGGGATAGCTTAATATGAACCGAATCATTTGTCCATATCGCAACCACCTTTGATCGTTGATCCCTTTCATGATTTTTGTGTCTTTTCCGTGATTGGTGGCGACACGATCCGAGTTGGTTGAAGGTGATGGTGGTGGCCGCCACGCGACGTGGTGGAAAACTTGTTCTTCTCCATTATAGGAGAGGATGCCGCGACGGTGGTCAGATCAAATGGTTTAACTCTCTTGTGCACGTCGCGACGTTCCACCTTTGGCAAGTTACCTATAAGCGCCAAATGCAGCTCTCAGATTCGTCCCCTTGTGAACTTCTTTGGGAACATGAGATTGGCTTGTCCTTTCTTCCCTTTCTTCCTCTAATAAGGAACTTCCCATCACTGCCTAATAATCCTACACGTGACTCATATTTCGCCCAAAATTCCCAGTTAATTTCGTGTAATCAAGCTCTATCGGAATTACCAAGAATGGGCGACAGAATCGTCGGCCTGGAAATCAACTCACGACGCAAATCCGTCTCGTCGGCAACTGGTTGTAGTTTTGGTGTGCACGCCATGGAGACTGAGGCTAACAGAGGCGATGGTAGAACTCTGGATGTTGTGGCTCCCCCGTCGACAAACTGCTCCGATTGACACCGCTCTAGCTTCTCGTGATCCCTTAGCTCATCAGAGTTAAAGTCATCTTGAGGAATATGATTCTTTTCTTGAATTTCCACCCGTCACTTAGGCGGTTCAATTGCATTGGCTTTGGTGTTTGCACCGCTTGAAACCCCGAAGGTTTGTCGAAGATCTTTGCTGCCGGTTCTCCTTCATCAAAGTTGGTTGGTAAGGCGGCATCGGCTAAGGAGTATTGTGACTGTTGCCGCCATCTACTCACCGCCGGCGCACTTGCTTGCTGCCTCAACTCCGCCCTTGGCTTCCCAGCCTTTAGCCGATTGATGCTCTAAAACACAACACCTAACAATGGCCAAGTGTAACCAATGAAAGGGACTGCAGTATAGTGGCACAAGTAATAAATATCGAATCCACGGGTCTCTAGAGTTACTATTACTCAGCTTCAGTTCATTATCTAGCAAACTAGATTAAGGATTGATTAACTAAACTACTCTACTAACTAAACTAAGTAAAACTACTAATTACAGTTTGGGAACTCACTTAGGTATGATTCCCCCTAGCTCCTCAATCAGGTCCAAGTTGTAATTCCTTTTGGTTGATTTACTGTTGATTAAACTGCGGAAGATCCGACAGTAGCTTGGAATCTCTTAAGCTGACCAAGCCCTCTCAGTCTAACTATCCGGCAGACGACTAGTCTTCACCGGGATAGAAAGCTGAAGCAATAAGCACAGAACTCCACTACTGGAATTGGATTCCAGTACAAAGCAGTAAACTGGCTAACTCTCGTATAGCCAATCTCCTACTATCGAATGATGAGACTCTAGCAACCTAATCAGATTCTATCTATCTCAGATTGCAGCAGGAATCAGGAAAAGTTGATCAGACTTCAATTGACTCAATAAACATGCATCATTCGATTATAATCAAACAATATAACATCCAAAACTTCATACAAGAAAGATCCTAACTCATGGAACTAAGGTTCCTCAAAACCTAAGTGAAGGGAAGCTACTCCATAGATAAGAGAGAGACTGCAGAAATCTGATCTAGATCTTCAATCTCCATCTCCAAGCTTGATTCCCGAGCTCCAATGGCGAAGAGATCCTCCAAAATAGCTCCAAGAATGTTCCCAAGTCGCTCTCTCTCTCTAGGGTTCGTCCCTTGGGTGTTTGGGATCCAAAACCCAGCTCTCCTCTTCTTTGGTTCGGAATTTGGCTTAAAACCAGGAAATCCCGACTCGCACGGCCAGGGTGCACGGCCGTGCATATCACCATTCTGGCCGTGCAACTCAAAACGCAGCGTGTCATTTAGTCGAACTTCAGCCCTCTCGCACGGCCAGGGTGCACGGCCGTGCGAGCTTCAGGGGTTGCCCGTGCGTGTCCTCGGCATAAGGCGCACGGCCATATTGCTCACGTGCACGGCCGTGCAGCCTCCCTGGTCTGCCCGTGCAGCTCCCCAAAAACCTCGCCATTCGTCCGTTCTTCGTCCAATCGACCCCAGACTCGCTCCTAAGCCTTCATTCACGTACTAGGACCTGAAACATCACAAACAAGCACAACCTAGCGTGAAATCGGCCTAAAACACGAGAATCAACACCTCAAACGGTGTAAGAATGGGGGTAAAAACATGTGTAAATGACGGTCTATCAAACTACCCCACACTTAACCGTAGCAAACCTAACTCAAACCAATGCAACTCTCCAGACCTCTATAGCAACAAACAACCCGGATCGTAGGTAGAGGACTTCCCAGATCATTTAGCAGCTTACGAGGTCAACCGACGCACAAGTCATCTCATAACTTCTTCGGCGAGTCGGCATCATGGCAAATAGTGAACAGAGGACAAATGAATTGTGGATGAAGAGATTCTCAAAAACAAAGGATCATGGACTCACATTTTTCAAGGTGCTCTATTTTCTTCTTGAAGATGGTTGGAACCCCTTTTCTCTCTGTTTTGCTTGTTTTCTGTTATTTTTCTTTTCTTTTCTTTTCAAGGGTCCCAACCTGCTCTTACCGGCCATGCCAGGAGTGGATGTCTCGAGCCTCGTGCGGGGGAAAGACATGTAAGGGGGCTGGAGGTAATAGGTGGAAATTGGGAACGGATTCCCGTCTCCCCTTACACACTTTCGCCCTATTCGCACGGGAGACGTTATTTTGAAGCACATTTTCGAGCACCTGTTAAACTCAAAACATGATACAAGAGTCCATGACAGGTAGAGAATCCACAACACCACACAATTCAAGGGTCCTAAGATCACTAATTCACTCAATCAACCAACTCAATATGAAGAAGAAATGAGACTTCTTAAATGCATCAACATCCTCCATAGTGCTACACTACCTCCCTAGGTTGCATATTACTGTAAAGACTGTCAATTCAAAGCATACTGAGCAGGCAATTGCATGGAACACGTACTTGGAGCCCTCAAATTTAAAAATTTGGACAGTGGACTAGGCTCCAAGCACACAAACAGCCAAACATTCACCCGCATACATAATCGAACATCCCCCCACACTTAAGCACGACATTGTCCTCAATGGAGGAAAGATAAGGAGGGTAGAACGAAGTTACCAGATCAAGGGTGAATGATGATGAACGGGTCAGGCGGTGCATTCCAGAAAGAGAGAGTAATCAGAACACAAACACCACACAAAATCTCACAAAGGTTGAGTTATTGACTCTAAAATCAAATAACACAACTGACTCAACCGAGGAGAAAAAGAGAAAGAAATGCGAACCGACTGGTTGGGTTGCCTCCCAACAAGCGCTTCTTTCACGTCGTGAGCCGGACGATGGCTCCTAAGTTTCGGTCCATGCTAGAACCTCCTTGAAGTTGAGGTTCTCGTCGATGAGGTGGAGTCTCAAGTCACGAGCATCTGGTGTGGCAGGTGATGAAGGCTCATGTACTTGATGCAGATGAAGTCTCCACCCTCGAGACCTCTTCTTCTCTTCTCTCGTCTCATTGCCCCAAACCAGATATGACAGCATCGATTGGCCACCATCGCGTCCACCAAGAGGGACCGATGTCGATGTGGCCTTGGTCTGGCAAAGAGACACTGCAAATGGGTCCTTGCCAAGCAGTTCCTCAAAGTTTGGTGGGGATATTACTTGTAACTCATGGCCGGTGCAGGCCTCTTCCACCTCAGCTTGGACACCAATTGCTTCCTCAACCCCCCTTCCTTCTTCAAAATGTGGTCTCTCCCTTGGGAAAAGATCAAGAACCACCTCTTCTTTTCTTTCTTCCTCATCATCCACAACTTCCTTCCTCATCCTTGCTCGCTCTTCTTCTTCTAGAACAGATTGGAGAGCAAGTCGCCAAGCAATTTCTTCAATGGGATCATCTTGCATCTCCTCGCACGGGCCCAACATGTTAGAGCATAAATGAGGAAAGGTGTGGTCTGCAACCAAAGGACTTCCCTGATCATGGTTATCATGGGAGTTCTCTGTGATAACTTCTGTATGCTCCTCAACGCTCCCATAGCCTTTGTCATCCTCCACCTCTTCTAGCGTGGCAGCAGAAAGGTGATCTTGAGCAAGATGTGAGCAAACTTGCTTCACCCACTCTGTTTGCTTCGCTGAGCGCTGAACAGTCTCCTCCATATCATGGAGAAATGAGGGATCGGAAGTGGCAAGGGCTTTGATTTGAAGATCCATCTTGGAGCATGATTTCTCAGTGTCTCGAGCAAACTGCTCCACGAGAAGCCTTAATTGTTTGTTCGGATCTTCCAGTGAAGTGTAGCATGGCTCTGCAGAGTGGCCCGTGAAGGCTGCCATGGGTAACTCAAGATCTGATGGCCCTTCTTGTTGTGGGAGGAATTCTTCTTGATAAGGAGATTGTTCTTGATATGCCCAGGGGTCTGGTTGTTCTCCGTAGAAAGGGGGTTGGTACTGGAACCCGAATCCATAGTCTCCTCCTCCTTGATTGCTCCAGGGAGTCTCGGGGTAATACCACTCGGATGGTGGTGGATACCCCCAATGGTTGGAGAAGCCATGAGGATCCATGACTCAGATCTGCACCAACAAAAACAAAAACACCCAAGTGAAAAGCAAGGGTGGAAAAGAAAAGAAAAGAAAAACGCTAAAGTAACAAACTTCTGCCTTTCCTAATACTCTAGAAAGTCCCCGGCAACGGCGCCAAAAACTTGATGCTCTAAAACACAACACCTAACAATGGCCAAGTGTAACCAATGAAAGGGACTGCAGTATAGTGGCACAAGTAATAAATATCGAATCCACGGGTCTCTAGAGTTACTATTACTCAGCTTCAGTTCATTATCTAGCAAACTAGATTAAGGATTGATTAACTAAACTACTCTACTAACTAAACTAAGTAAAACTACTAATTACAGTTTGGGAACTCACTTAGGTATGATTCCCCCTAGCTCCTCAATCAGGTCCAAGTTGTAATTCCTTTTGGTTGATTTACTGTTGATTAAACTGCGGAAGATCCGACAGTAGCTTGGAATCTCTTAAGCTGACCAAGCCCTCTCAGTCTAACTATCCGGCAGACGACTAGTCTTCACCGGGATAGAAAGCTGAAGCAATAAGCACAGAACTCCACTACTGGAATTGGATTCCAGTACAAAGCAGTAAACTGGCTAACTCTCGTATAGCCAATCTCCTACTATCGAATGATGAGACTCTAGCAACCTAATCAGATTCTATCTATCTCAGATTGCAGCAGGAATCAGGAAAAGTTGATCAGACTTCAATTGACTCAATAAACATGCATCATTCGATTATAATCAAACAATATAACATCCAAAACTTCATACAAGAAAGATCCTAACTCATGGAACTAAGGTTCCTCAAAACCTAAGTGAAGGGAAGTTACTCCATAGAGAAGAGAGAGACATCAGAAATCTGATCTAGATCTTCAATCTCCATCTCCAAGCTTGATTCCCGAGCTCCAATGGCGAAGAGATCCTCCAAAATAGCTCCAAGAATGTTCCCAAGTCGCTCTCTCTCTCTCTAGGGTTCGTCCCTTGGGTGTTTGGGATCCAAAACCCAGCTCTCCTCTTCTTTGGTTCGGAATTTGGCTTAAAACCAGGAAATCCCGACTCGCACGGCCAGGGTGCACGGCCGTGCATATCACCATTCTGGCCGTGCAACTCAAAACGCAGCGTGTCATTTAGTCGAACTTCAGCCCTCTCGCACGGCCAGGGTGCACGGCCGTGCGAGCTTCAGGGGTTGCCCGTGCGTGTCCTCGGCATAAGGCGCACGGCCATATTGCTCACGTGCACGGCCGTGCAGCCTCCCTGGTCTGCCCGTGCAGCTCCCCAAAAACCTCGCCATTCGTCCGTTCTTCGTCCAATCGACCCCAGACTCGCTCCTAAGCCTTCATTCACGTACTAGGACCTGAAACATCACAAACAAGCACAACCTAGCGTGAAATCGGCCTAAAACACGAGAATCAACACCTCAAACGGTGTAAGAATGGGGGTAAAAACATGTGTAAATGACGGTCTATCACCGATCTCTCCACGTCCGGTAGCTCTTCCTTCCCATCGTGGCGAGGAGGTGCGACGACTATAAATGGTGGTTGAAAGGTTATCGTGGTGGTGATCTTGGGGATTTTAACGAAGAGACTGCCAGCTTCGAAGCTGATGCGACACTTCACGGCGTCGTCTAGAGCTTTGAATCGAATCTGCCTCTCAAATTGGCTCCATTTGTGATTGTCCTCAAAAGGTTGTTGTGTCGTTATTGAGAGAACCTTCGAACCAATCTTGTGCACTTTTACGTGCTCCTTCTCGAACCCAGGCAAGGAGAATAACAAACGGACTTGACGGGGATACTCCCATCTGTAGAATTTTGGTTCGAGATCTTCATATATGTAGTCATCCCCGGTTGAGAGTTGTGATGAACTCATATTCGCAACTGGAGCTCCGATACCACTGAAGGTAGTAAGATTCTTCGGTAACTTGGAATTAATGTAATCAGATATATTAGAAAGAGATTTAGATTGATTGAGAGGAGAATTGAGAAGAATTAGGTGATTTAGAATTGGGGAATTAGGGATCTAGAGATTAGGAGGATAAGAGAGGGATAAACTGGATAGGGTTTTTGTTAATGATTTCTCATTGACTCTGACGTAATACGAAAGTACATATTTATAATAAAAGACACCCAAAACCCTAACAAGAATCCTAACTCGACTCGGCCACACCCGACCCCCTAACCCCCTACTAATCATAATATTTATGTTTCCTACAAATATCTTCAACACAAGGAGCAAGGCTAGCATCTCGTTGATTGTCTTCCTACTTCTCTCTTGTGTTTTCCCTTCTCATAGCATTTAGTAGTCCCTTCTTTCACTTGGGTGTTTGTATACCCTAGTTAAAATTATGTGAATGCTTGTATGGATTGAATGATTTGTGTGTTGTTGTGTTTAATGTAAAGGTGGAGGATTCATGAATGATTGTGTTGTGTGAAAGCCTATCAATCTAATTGCCATTCTTGCCTAGGTGGAGATTAAACCCCCTTCCTTTCTTTGAAAGAGGCTTGAATGCTGGATTTTCTTTGGCAATTCATTGTCTCCTACCCAGGGTAATGCAGGGCAAACCTCTTATTTCTTATTAGCGCCTAGGGTTTGGTTGTGGGTGGCCGTCCGAACTCTGATTCGAGTGTGAAGTCTAACCATCCCTTAGTCAATAGGTCGAGAGAGTCACATTGGTGGCTTGGATCATATCCCCTTCCCTCGACCTAGAGACTAAGGGAGTGGCGCTTGGCTACTTGTTACACTTCCCTACGGTTTACAACCCCCTCACCACACACGACCATTCGATCCAATGAGTCATAATTGTTAGCTAGGGGGAGCAACACCTGGGTGAAGCCTTCTCAATTAGTGTCAAATCGATTTACCTTTGAAAACACTTTAGCTATAGATTGTTGTTTTCACCTAAAATCAACCGTTAGATAATGTTTCAAGCAATCGAAGTAGGGGTACATGAACAAGCCCGAGTGGATATTTAAACATACTTTCCCTGTACTGCACCTAGTTAAGGTTTATACTTGGGCCTTAATTGACAGTTTTATTATGGTGCATTCGGGTTGAGTTAGTTTTCTTTTTGTACAACCCGACTCTTTTGGGTTGTGTGTGGATTTTGGGTTACACAACCTCTAGAATCCGACCCAAACTGTGTTCCAACTATTGGAATAATTGTTTGTATATGAAACATATTTGTGCATAAGCATATTTGTGAGAAATTTAAGATATTATGTCATATTTTTCTCTTGTGGTCTCCCTAACCTAATACAGTCTTCGACTAAAATTTAGACATATATGTAACATTGGTTATGATTCACGCTATCTTTTTTCTAGTGTATACCATTATAAAAGTATGACATATTATGTATGTGTTTGCTTATAAACTCTTTAGGTTATTTTGGTAAATTTTTATGAAAAAATAGACATGAAGCAAATTGCTTTTCATTAAAATCCAAACAATATCTATGCATTTTTTTATGCTTTTCGCCTTGGGAAACTCAAGGTTTATGTTAAGTATTTTGGATTGGGATTTGCCAAAGTGTTTAGGGCTGTTGTTTTGGGATTTCTGAATATTACCGTTAGGTGGTTTTCGGTTTGACTTTAAAGTGTGATTTGGATTGCTCCGGAGTAGCCGGTTTTTTATTTAAATTATGGTTTAGGTTTTCAAAAGAGTTGGGTTGTTTTTGTGCTGATGTTGCATGCCATTAGGAGGGGTCTTTCCTATCTTTTCCCCTCTATCGTTTACTGCAAGTGGCCTCCCTCCCTCTCTCTCTTTCCATCCCACAGCCGATTGCATATCTCCCCTCTACCCTAATCCCTTTCCCGGCCGTTCTCTGGAACTATATTGAAGGTTACCATGCGGATCATCCAACTCGTTCCACCGACACTGCTACCTTGGAAAGTAGATGGTCAGCTCACTGCATTTTTACAAGTGGGTTTTCGGACCCTCATCTTCAATTCTTCTTAGACGGCCATCACTGGGTTTCGTCCACTAGTTCTGAAAAGTAGATTTCAGGGCTCGAGTGTTAGTTTCTTTGTAGAGGGCCAGCGTATTATACGATTGCCTCGATTTCCGCTTGTCGAATTTGGGGAACGTGCACGTTGTTCCCTCAAACAAGCTGTGGAAAGGTTGTTAGAGGTTTGAGTTGCTTCTTGCTTTACTGTCATTTGCTTATTCAAATTGGTTTTAGGGATTGATCGAGCTACTTATATCAGGTTTAAGTACCTGTTGTATGTTGCCAATCATGGTATTCTGCTGGTTTGTTATATAGTGGATGCATATTGATTTAGGCTACTTATATAAGGTTTAAGTACCTGTTGTATGTTGCCAATCATGGTTTAAGTATCTGTTGTATCAGGTTTAAGTACGTGTTGTATGGTGGATGCATATTGATTTAGGCTACTTATATTGATCGAACAACTTATATAAGGTTTAAGTACCTGTTGTATGTTGCCAATCATGGTATTCTGCTGGTTTTTTATATAGTGGATGCATATTGATCCAGGGCTGGAAAATAAGGGGAAATTTATCTACTTTTAAACCGAAACCCATAACCCTAGATAGCCCATTTATTTCATTCGAAAATTCTAGGAAAGGAGACACCAGCAACCAGCCACGCGAGAGAGAGACTAGCAGCCACGACATAGTCGTTCTCCAAGCAATCGAACAGTGTCGCCGTCCTCCATGCTAGCGACCAGCGCCGTCGTCCTCGCCATCAGACTCCCCATCGACCAGCGCCGTCCTCGCCGGTCGTCCTCGTCGGTCGTCCTCGCCATCTGTCGCCGTTCGTCTATCCATTTATCGTCGTTCGCCGTCGGCAGCCAGGTGAGAGTGGTTTGGGATTCGAGGGAGGGAAAGGGGAAAGTTGGGTTATATGTGAGGATAGTCGATTGATTGATGGTAGGGACGAGAGACTTAAAAAGAAGAACAATGAATTCGAGGGAAGGGAAAGGGGAAAGTTTGGTGTGAGCATTATGTATAATTATATCTGCTTCTTCAAGGGTTGTTGTCTGTTTGTACTTTGTAGAGTAAAATTTGTAGAATGAAATGTTTGTTCAAGGGCTATTGTCTGTTTGTAGGGGTGAAATGGATTTATATATAATATATAATTATATGTATATGAGTGATGCCTCTCAATTTCGTTTGTTTAAAGGCTGTTGTCTTGTGATTGCAGTGAACTTATGACTGTTATGTTTGATCTTGCATGCTAAACTTAAATATCTATCATATTTTTTTCGACGTTTAATCTCGCCTAGAGGGCGACTAATCCGCCTGGGTGGTGCCTCCTCGCCTAGATGACGCCTAGAGTCTTCTTGAACATTGATAGAGAATACGAACAGAGGCGGAGAGGGGAGGATGGAAAACTGGGAATTTGGGGAAGAGTTTGGATGCTTGAACATTATTTTGTGGTAGCTGACATAGTTTCCTTGTACTGCAACTGAACTAAATTTGGATAGATTACATTTTCCCATGGGAGCTTATAATTTTGTTGTAACTTGCTCTTAGGTTGCTGCTTGATTATACTTTGACTGTGCAGTTTGTGGTATATTTTGTGATTTGAACCGACTTGAAGGGGATAGTAAAAATTGATCATTAGTTTAATTGATTACAACTTCAGTGCCTCATAGTCTAAAACACAGCCATCTTAGCACGTGTAGAGGTAGAAGATGCTTTCCAATTAGTTAAGCGCAATATTCATGAAATGGATAAAGCTGGATATTATTCATAGTAATCACCTATAATATGGTAGTTTTGAATAGGTGCAGTAAACCTCATGGGTTGTTTAGCTTTTTATATGCATATACTTTTGTTCATTGCTTGATTCTCCTATATTTTGATATTGTTTTTCTATTGAGCAAACACAATTTATGCAAAATCACACATTGCTACTTTTTGGTTCATTAGGATGTCAGTTGATATTTTGATTTAATGAGCAAACCACTTGAAATCATACACTGCTGCTACTGAAAGTTCAGCCTGCCTGTTTCCTCCTTCATAATTTGGAAAACCTAAATATGTTTCCTTCTCATGTTTGTCTCCCGTTACTGTGGTCAGTTCCTCAATCTGAATCTGTGATGCCACCCCTTTCTTCATGTTATTTCACTCCCTCGGTTGTCATTTTGACTCACTCCGACTATCACAATTGATGTGATATCGACTAGCGCGATATTTAATTCTCGTGGTCCAAAAATGAAGATTCATATTCGATGATTTAAGGATCAACTAGGAGCATTCTTGATGGATAAAATGGAGAATGCATTAAGGATCGGGCCTACAACATTTCTTGGAGCCCAAAACGTCCATCCTTGCTGCCCAAGTCGTCCAAATGTGAAAAGGACAAGGAAAGAGATTGCTTAACCACTAAGGAGCTTCCTTAAGCATTAAAAACGTGTTTGGAGATTACTTAGCTGCTAAGGAGCTTCCTTTGGTCATAAAAACGAGTTATAGTCCTTATTTAAGTAGTATTATGTTTCCTAGTTAGTTTGAGATTTGTTTTCCTATTCCTTTTAGGTTAGATTTATGTTTCCATGACCTCTATAAATAGAGGGTGTAAGAGCTACGAATTTGGTACCCAACATTCAAGTTATCAATTAAGAGTTTTTACTCGTGTTCCTTTGTGAACATTTGTGCAAGTTTCTATCGAGAATCTCCAGGAGTTTCACGTGTCTCTTATCAACTAGAAAACGCGTCTAGTTGTGGCGAGCTTCTACCCAATAGCGATTGGCCTTATTCACGAGTGGGTGATTGTTTGATTGGTTTCATATACCAATTGGCCTTTCACACGAGTTGGAATCTGTTTGATCGTGTTCCATCTCTATCCTTTATTTTCAAGTTGTCAAGAAAAGCTTCGAAAATTCCATAAAAAGAAGGAAGGCTGCGTACTTTGGTCATATAATCTGAGTTGAGGGTTCTCTTCAGATTTGGATCATATCAAGAATAAAATCCCACCTAAGGTCCAAGTATAAACCTTAAATGGGTGCAATATAAGGCAAGTATGTTTAAATATCGATACGGGCCGACCCATGTACCCCTACTTCGACTGTTTGAAACATTATCTAGCGGCTTGTTGTTTTGCGAAAATCTCTACAACCTACTATTGAAAAGCAAGACTTGAAAAGTAAAGTGGTGAAAAGTAAAAGCAAGGCTTGCTGTTTTCTACCGAACCAACTACCATGAACCATGAGATCAAATGAATCGGTGTGGGATAAGGCGATTATGAACCGCTAGGAGAGACAACAGTGGTTGGAAAGCACCTCTCAATTACTAGCCCAATGAAAGCATTATAGGCTACAAATGTAGCCTTCTTGGCCCAAGCAATTGAGGGTTGCCTTAACTTCTCCCTCAAACCGGGGTTTGGAGCGGCCAAAGCACAATTAACCTAGATGCTCCATTTGAGTTTAGAGATTTGCCCTACATTAACCTAGTTAGCAGGCATAGAATACCTAGGAAACCCAACTCAATTGGAGTCTCTTTAGAAAGGGGATTTCCCTCTAAGCCAGGTTAGAATAGAACAATAGATTGCAAGGCACACACAGGTTAGCATGTCGAATCGAACGAAGCCTAGCCCCTCCTTGGGTTTTTTGAAGGACCATCTTTTCCCAAGCCACCAGGTGCATCTTGTTATTGTTCTCCTCCCCACCCCAAACGAAGTCTCTGTTCAGCCTGTCAATACTGTTGCAAACTCCTCGCGGAATGAGCTCCGTGTTCATGTGATAAGTGGGAAGACGTGAGCCTAGCCGCCAAGGAAAGACGTCTCGCCTTCCAAGGGGCCAGCTTCCTCTGGATATGAAGGATCAAATTCTGGTATCTCCCTTTAGTCACCCTCCCATGAATGCCCTGAATCCCGAGATACCGCCCTAGCTCGCTTTTCAAAGGAATACCCGCTCTCCTACTTAAACTGGATGCCTTGTCTCTGTTGATGTTGGGAGACACATACATCAACGACTTTGCATAGTTGACCCGCTGCCCGGAGCTTGAGCAAAACTCTTCCAGACATCGCGTAATGTTCCGGATTTGACGTGTCTCTGCTTCGGCAAAAAGCAGCAGGTCATCTGCAAAAAACAAATGGGTAAGCTGGGGACCATTAGTGGAAAGCTTAAGAGCTTTCCACTCCCCGTTACGAACAGCAGTATCAATCATATGAGACAGACGTTCCATGCACAAAACAAAAAGATAAGGAGAGAGAGGATCTCCCTGGCGAACTCCGTGGGAAGGGGAGATGGGCGAGGAGAGCTGACCATTCCAAAGAATCCTCATCCGGTTCTGCTCCACGCAGTACATGATACATCTGATCCAATCACTGGGCAGGCCGACCTCTTTCAGGGTGTCCCTAAGGAAATCCCAACGAAGCATGTCGTATGCTTTCTCGAGATCGATCTTGAGCACTAACCCTCCTTTCCTGCCTTTCTTCTTCCTGAGGGTGTGGAGAACCTCTTGAACCACAATGATGTTATCCGTCGTTTGGCGTCCCGGAATGAAACTGCTCTGGCGAGGAGACACCAATTTTCTCATCACTGGCTTGAGGCGGTTGGTCATGGCTTTGGTGATGGCCTTTAAGCTAACATTGTTGAGTGAGATGGGGCGCAACTGGGTCACCAGCTCGGGATTATCCACTTTCGGAATAAGCACCACCGTGGAATCAGAGATCGCCGTCGGGAGGGTTCCAGAGGAAAAAAAATTAAGCGCCATGTCTGTCAAGGCTTTCCCTATAGTTCTCCAACAACGTTGGTAGAAGACCGCCTGAAAACCATCAGGGCCCGGAGCTTGAAGAGGCTTCATGTCAAAGATGGCCTTATGGATATCCATGATATTGAAGGGCCGGAGGAGCATCATCATTTCATTCTGCGTGAGACGAGGGAAGGCCCCTTTCGGCAACTTATCTTCATAAGGAGACTCATCCTGCGTGTACAGATTAGCATAATACTCGAAAACGAAAGAGGCAAGGATATTCGGATCATCGATCCAGGTACCATTCGCATCTCTTAACGCCTCGATCTTGTTACGCCTCCGTCGAATGTTGACCTTATGATGAAAATAGGAAGTATTCCTCTCCCCAAACTTCACCCAGTTCTCCCTAGCTCTCTGAAACCAGACCAGCTCCTCCTGCTCTAGCACCTTGTCTAGCTCCTGCTCAAGTTTCGAATGGAGCTTAGCAAGTTCTGGAGCGAACTGAATAGCCAGCCTGATTTCCACCCCTTTGATACGACCCAAAAGTCTCCTTTTCCTCTGTTGGATGTTGCCAAAAATGTTGGTGTTCCATTCTTGCAACACTGCCGCCAGGTTATGAAGCGCGGAGGGTAGGCTAACGTCATTCTCCCAGTTCCCTCCGACCAAATCCAGAAAATCATTGTGAGTTAACCAAGCAGCCTCAAACTTAAAAGGGTGAGGTGAAGCAGAGATATGCCCCTGGTTGGCAATAGTGGTGAGGATGGGATGATGATCGGACTGCAGACGCGGCAGATGTTGAACAGAAGTATTAGGAAAGGAAGAGTTCCAATGGGCATTGCATAGGCTCCGGTCGAGACGACTAGATTTATAAGTGCTCTGATCATCACCCCTAGTCCACGTAAAACGAGGACCCGAGAAGCCCAAATCAATAAGCTCGGCAAGGTTGATTCGATCATTGAACAGTCGACAACGCCTAATGGTATCAGCAGAGGCCACCCCGGTCTTCTCCTCAATTGACCGGATTGCGTTGAAGTCGCCTGTGAGAAGCCAAGCCAGGCTAATGTTTTTGCTTTCCTCTATGAGCTTAGCCCATAAACTACGTTGTTGGCTTTGTCTTGGTGACGCGTAGACCGCCGTGAGAATCCAGGGGGAAAAATTCCCTTGCGAGATCCTGAGAGAGATGTTGAGAGCAGGCCGAAATCAGCTCCACCGAGAACTTATTGTCA